CCCTAGTCCTGAAGGTATATTGAAAAATACTATAATTTGTATTATTATTTTCAATTAAAAATATTATAAGTCACATAATTATTTTCGGTTCTATTATTAAAATATATACAACTTTTTTCATAGAAAGAAAATCATGATAAATTTTTTTTTACGTTATTTGAATAAAATTGAATAAATGATTCCTATCACAATCATTCCAACAATATATTTGGAATTTTTTTTTATTATAAGATGAAAGAAAGAGTATTCTGATTTATCAAAAAGTATCATTACATGGTTTATATTTATATTGTTGTTTAGAATAATATAAATATAATAAACGTTACCTTTTTTTAAAAAAAATTTATTTTTTTTTCATTTCTTTCATATTGAGAAAGTTTCAATTTCCAAATTAGAAATTTTCCATTCATCAATTAAATGAATAAGGAGGATGATGATTTACAGCCAATTTTTTTGGTAAAATATATTATCAAATTTTGTTGCTATCACACTGTTAAAACTTTAATATTTGAACAAGTTATTTTAATTGTATGAAAATATAATTCAATTAACGGTAGTGATAAAGTAATAAAATTCAGTAAAGAAAGAATTTCGAGTTTTAGTAAATAAATTTCTTTTAAATTATTAACGTCAACACTATTTTCATTTTAAACAAACTATGAAAACAAATTTTTAATTCCGCTAGATTAATAAGAATCGAAATTGTTTGAATAATTGAAGCGCAATTACAAAGTTCAATAATTCTCAAAGAATTAGAATAATAAGAATTATCGTGTTTAAATTTATTTTCTCTCAAATATTTTGTGAGAGAAAATAAATAGCACTTACATTATATTAACATTGTAATTTATCTTCGAAACTGAATTTTTGCTGCTTTTTGACACCAATGAAAGGCTTTTAAATTTTCAGATTCTATACTCTTCTTTCTAATTCGCTCAAGGAAAGTAATTTCGGATCATTCCAGCAATACATCTCGTGGAAAACTGTAAACCTGCGTAATATTACGGTTAAAATATTTCAAAAATTTATTTCCCACACAAAATTCAATATAAAAGATTTTTGATAATTCAAGAATTATATCCTCAAGGCAAATTATAATATAAATCTTTAGAGTTAAAAATGATAATAAAGATTTGTTTATCATTAATATCACCAAATATACCTTCGATTAATTTATTTATATCTCTTGAAAAAATCAATTGAATACAGTCGCCCACTGGTTATGCCGAACCTACAGTATATATACCGAAAACTTGTTAATATTAATAATATTTGTAAAACTATTTAAAAAATATTGACAACTATTATAGCGAAATGTAATACCTTAATAGTTTATTATAATAAATAATTTTAATTTTTTCACTTTTTTGCAAGCTATGTTCGTATACATGGGGTGAATTGGGTTCCTTGTTATCTGAAATAATTACGCCCACATGTATTGTATGCTCGATCAATTTTTTTACGAAATAATAAGGTTGATTTGTACAAAAATTTTTGATAAATTACTTATTTAACAAGGAGCCTTTTATCCGAACTCAGAAAAATCCACTACACCTTGGGAAAGAATGAATTTCCATCAGAAGAAATCACATGCTATGAGACACATTAAAGCAAGAATGATAACTTCACTTTTAACACTTTTACTATAACGAGTGATAAGCATGGCGTTAGTTACTCTAAAAAAATTGATTTTTTACTGCAACTTCTTTAAATGAACAAACAATTGTTTCACAAAAAAAAACGATATTATTAAGGACAACCTTTTTACTTGTCGGAATTATAGGTATCCTACATTGTGCATGAGAGAATTCTTTAATACACGTTTCAGGTTAGTTATTTAATTTTTTCCGTTAGAAAATTTTACGAGAAATTGTGTGTAGAATTTATTACTCAAAATACATTTATAAATGGGATATCATTCTTAAGTGCCCCGAAAAATAAAAATAATCTAATTTGTTTTCAAAAAAAAAAAAAAATTACATAAAATTGAATCTTTATTATCAGACGACATGTCCTCAAGTCAGCAAAACCAAACCAAAGTTAACAAAAAATATAAGAAATGTAATGAATGTAATTAAGAAAAGAATAATTTTATACGAAAGTCACCAAATTTGTTACATTTGTTACAATATAAAGACAATACTCAAGCCTAAAAAATTGGAAACAAAGTCATTGACGATTTTATTAGGTATACTCAAAGTGATGGTGTTGCTATGACAAGTAAAATGGAGTTTGTTCCTTATGATCAATTCAAAAAATATAAAATTTATTGCTGAGGGAGGATTTAGTAAAATTTATATGGCTGCTTGGGGTATATAGAAAGCATCATGTATTGTACGGTTGATTTTTTCGCATGTATGAATACATGTGTAACGAACGAACATTTATCAATATTTCAAAGTTATTGTAAAAAATGAGCCATATCCTTTTAAAACAATTTCATATTTTTAATTATACTTGTATATTTTTTAGTTGATTCAATTAATTACGTCAAAAGAAATGAAAATAAAATAATAAAATGTATTTGAAATATGATATTCTAATAATCTAACGATCATGTTTATCACATTCTAATTCTTACTCGAGAATTGTTATTTATTTCAGGAACAATACTGAGACTTTTTCTGAAATTACTTTAATTACTTTGGTCTTTCATTTGGCTCACGTCTCCAACAATTCCATCTAAATAAATAATTTGCAGTAAAAGAATAATCGAATCAAAATACATAATTTATCGTTAAAATTTTATAAAGATTATTAAATTTAGTATTACTGTTTGGCTTTTCCCTTATACTATTTAGAATGTTTAATGAGGTAAATTAATTAAATTATGATCGCTTCTTGTTTCAAATTTGAAAGGTGATAAACTCATAAATAACTTTGTTAATTGATAAAAAACTATATATGTCAGATTTCTTTAATTATATGGGGTTTAAATCAATATCTTAGGAACCATATACCGTCACACGCTTCGTATCATTGATGTACTAGAATATTAATCAGTTGCTAAGAAAATAAGAAAATGAAAATAATTAATATAGTCTGCCGTTTAGAATAGTCTCCATACAAATAATTTGAATTGTGTAACATGAAAACCCGTGCCTGCGTGCCTATGAGAACCCGTGACAGGCGTGACATACTTGCGTCTGATCTATTCCTTATTTATTATTACACTAAATCGTTACGACGTTACGTAATCATTACTTTTCATTCACTGTTAAACTTATTTTTTATATTAAACCATATATTTTTATTTAAACCTATATTTGCGATCCACCATCTTCTCCTAGATATGACTTTTTTAGTAGAATTAATAAATTGAATGCTTTCTTATAATTTTTCATGTTCATTATTCGTCACTTTGTTTATTTAAAATAAATTCAATTGAAAATAACTAAAATTGAATTTTCATCAATCATGTTTTTATTGATTTTTTAAATAAGATTTAAAAATAATAACAAATTAATAATTTTTTTTTATCAAATTATTTGAATAATAATAAAGATACTATCTAATTCATTAAGGCCGTTCCAATTTAATATTTAGTTTAACGTCCTCCCCCCTGTCTCTTATACACATCTAGATGTGTATAAGAGACAGGTCATGAGGCGTCAAATACTACGCCTAAAGGTCAAAAATTTATGTCGCACAACATGAAGTTTGATCAACAATTTGCATTTTATTAATTTATTACGGTTTGAATGAACGAACTTAAAATAATTCTTTCTCTTCCCTTAATTTATAAATTACATTATGTCCACTCTTCGATATGAATTAATTTATGCAACAATTAGTAGGACATATACATTATTAGATACTAATATTTACAATGATATACACAAACAATTTGAATTTCGAAAACAAACAGTCCTTGCTGATAAAATTCTTACAAATGATGAAAAAACTGAAGCAATAAGAGATTTAACTAAAGCTTATGATCGAGATAAAGTTATGGATAACGATGGTATAAAAAGAATTTGTGAAGATTGTAACCAAGAATGTTTAGCCACATTATATTGTGAATATTGTGTTCAAAATTATTTAAAAGAAAATTTTTCAAATTGGACATCTGGAAATAATGATATTGATAATTTAATACAGAAATGTCAAATGGAAACACTTATGCCAAATATGGTAGTTGAATNGGTCATGAGGCGTCAAATACTACGCCTAAAGGTCAAAAATTTATGTCGCACAACATGAAGTTTGATCAACAATTTGCATTTTATTAATTTATTACGGTTTGAATGAACGAACTTAAAATAATTCTTTCTCTTCCCTTAATTTATAAATTACATTATGTCCACTCTTCGATATGAATTAATTTATGCAACAAATAATAGAGCAATAACATTAACAGATGCTAATATTTACAATGATATACACAAACAATTTGAATTTCAAAAACAAACAGTCCTTGCTGATAAAATTCTTACAAATGATGAAAAAACTGAAGCAATAAGAAATTTAACTAAAAATTATGATCGAGATAAAGTTATGAATAATGATGGTACAAGAAGAATTTGTGAAAATTGTAACCAAGAATGTTTAGCCACATTACATTGTGAATATTGTGTCCGAAATTATTTAAAAGAAAATTTTTCAAATTGGACATCTGGGAATGATGATATTGATAATTTAATACAGAAATGTCAAACGGAATCACTCATGCCAAATAAAATAGTTGAATGGATTCCATATAACAATTTGAAAAATATTAATTATTTAACAAAAGGTGGATTCTCTGAAATCTATACAGCAGTTTGGATTGACGGAGCGTATGAAGAATGGGATTCTGGAAAAAAACAATTAATGAGACTCAAAAATTATGGTATAGTGCTTAAAAAATTAGAAAATGTTGAAAGTGCAAATCAAAGTTGGTTTGAAGAGGTTTGTATTATTATATTCTAAATTTATTGTATAAAATTATACAGTCATTATATTAATATGAGTATTTTCACAAATTATTATCTTTTAGGCTAAATCACATTTAACTATAAGTAATAAATGGGCAGTTGTTGTTAATTGTTATGGTTTAACACAAAATCCATCAAATGGAAATTATATGCTTGTAATGAATAAAATGGATATAGATTTAAGAAAATATTTACGACAAAATCATAATCAACTTACATGGAAAGATAGAATTAATATTTCTTATAGAATAATTCTTGCACTTAGTTATATTCATGATGAGAAAGCAGTTCATAGAGATTTACATTCTGGAAATATATTATATTCAAAATTTAATGATCGGTGGTTTATTAGTGATCTTGGATTTTGTGGACCTGCTGATAAATCTTCAACAAGTATATATGGAAATCTTCCTTACATAGCACCCGAAGTTATTGTTGGAAGAGAATATACTTTAGCATCTGATATTTATAGTATAGCAATTCTTATGTGGGAAATTTCATCTGGACAAACACCATTTATAAATTATGAACATGAAAATGATATTGTAATGAATGTTATTAACGGTATAAGACCAAAAATTGTGCCAGGAACTCCATTAGAATATAAAAATTTAATGAAAGAATGTTGGGATGCTAATCCATTAAAAAGGCCTGACACTTATGCACTTGGGAAAAAAATGTTAAGAATTAATATAGATTATCAAAATATGCCAGATGAATTATTTAAATCAGAAATAGATAATTTAAAAGTGAATAAAGTAGAAGAAAATTATACGAGTAGCAGATTATTTACAAGTAAAATTCACAACTTTGGAAATCTACCTGAACCGAGAAATGCAACAGAAGGTATAAGTGTATTAATGAATGTATTTATTTTACAATACATTATTAATGTTATCTTTTATTATAATAGAAGAACAAGAAGGTACTATAACTGGCTAAATAATAATTTTTACCATTTTTTGGTTACTATAATAATTTAGTTTTTGAAATACTTAATTTTACTATTAATAGTGTTTCATAGTAAATTGTATGATTTTAACATTCCTAACAATAGTAAGTACATTAAAGCGTTGAATTATTACATAATAATGTTTAATAATTGATATTTATTTTAGTTAACGATTTTAATGGATCAAATAAGCAGTATAGTAAGAAATTATCAAGTATAATTAATAAATATTTTAAAGGTGATTTGTTTGAAATAATAGATTAAATATTGAAATCTATATCTATATTCTTAATTTTAGGTGATAGAGAAAAATTACCCAAAGAATTTATAAAGTTACAAATAAATTCAAATAGTAAGTAAATACTAAGTGAAATAAAAAATATACATTGAATCAGTTTCATTTATTAAATAACGTGACTTTTATTTTTAAAAATAATATGACGAAAAGAAATAATTCAACAACAAATGAAAAGGAAAGATATTGATATTGATGGTAAGCAAAAAAAAATAAAAATTATTTTGACAATATATTTAATATTTAATGTAGCTTTAATTTAAAAATTTAGATGATGAAAAAGAAATAATTCAACACAAAATGAAAAGACAAAATAATTTAATTTTTATATTATTTTTTAATTTTATTTATTTTTTTCTCCTTATAGATGAAGACGAAGTATATAATAATCCAAACTTTCATTCAAAAGAACAAGATGAATTGGAAATTCCTGATGGTAAGCTCTTAATTAATTAGTCGCTTTAAAAAGAAATCTTATTTATTTTACCAATTTGTTAATTTTTTTATCTTTAGATGGATTTTGAATAATCTTTTTTTTTTTTTATATTTTAAATTATTATCATTTATTTATTTATTTATCTTTTTATCTTGGATTATTTAAACACTAAGACTAGATAGAGTAGTAAAATGTTTTACAAAATTCTTAGTTTGTAATTTAAATAATCTTAATAAATTTATTCAAATTATTAAATGACCTCATGAAAATATAACAAGATAATGTTATATTAAAAAATTTGTTCTTAATTTTTTACAATAACCTCTTGTATTATATAAGATAATATACTTATGAGTTCTCGATATAAAATTTCATTATCAAATATATAAAATAAATATAAAATTTTACAGAAAATTTTTTTTAGAAAATTTCTATTGGTTTCCTATATAAAAATTGAAACAGTTTCCATTAAATATTTTTCTAATAATCAATAATCAGAATAAAAATGTATATCCAAAAAAATTTAATATCAAACTTATTTTGAAAGAAAAATGATTAGAATATACAAGATTATTTTACAATCTTTTAGCATAAATAATTTAAAAGAAAACCAGTTTTCGGATGTTGTAATTTCTATTAAATAAACATCTAATATTATATGCTTTAACTTATAATAAATCAAGAACAAAAAGTCTGACTTTCAGAAAACTTACATAAATGAAAATGATGATAGTTATAATCAATCGTTTGAATATTAATTAATATCTATTTTACTGTTTGTTGTAAATCAGTTTATTTCAACTTTTTATTGCTAAATGTGCTAAATAGACTTTTTATAGCCTCTTTTTTTTTTAATAATTTGTTTATTATTTATGTCGTATATAAAATGCATATTTTATCTGATGGTTTATTTGTTTCGATGATAAGATTATTCGAAATTTCTTTTAATAAAATCTGTTATATGAACACAGATATTAACAAATTTACGAATGAATTGATAATAAATCTATACCAAATTTTTATATTTTAATAATAATATACTTAGTAATAACCTTTACATAGTAGATAGAATTTGCAAAGAACTAACTGGAAACTTTTTGTATAACCTTGAGTTTTCCAAAAATCAGATAAAATATTTAACCATTACATTTTTATTCAATTTGTCTCTCATTTAATATGGTAATCTGGAATATCGGCCAAAAACGCTACATTAGAACATAATTGTAATTGTAGAAATCGAAAAAAAATTAAATCTAATTTTACCGAGAAAAAAGCTTTTGAAACAAAAATTTTTTTTTGCGCAGCAGTTAGGAATTATTATGACAGCTGCATCTCACAAATATAATTGACGAGCGAAGCGATGAAGTATAGTAGAGTTTATATCCGTTATCCGTTAAAAAATAGATATCCGCTGAACGGATACAGAATTCTTGATATCCGAATATTATCCATTAAGGGTAACTCTGACCAATTTTATAATGCCGGCCAGAATTATGCTAAAATATTTCCCTTTAAAAGGAAATTTTTGATTTTTAGAAAAATAATTTTTGTGGGACAGCTATCACCAAAATGGAAATGATCATCTTACCAAGTGGAATAAAATAATTGGATATCCGGAAGACAAATTAGATGAATATCCGGATGGACGGATACAAATTCTAAAGTATAGGACTATTTGTTGTACGGTCATACATCCCCTTCCTTTTTCGATTTTACCCTTTCATTGTTCGACATTTTTTTGTAACCAATATTTTTTTTAATATTTAAACACAGCAACGGACTTTTAATGGTTTCTGATTTCCTGATAAAATCATAGATAATTTTCTCAATATATAATGTGGATTATACTGTAAAAGATAAAATGATAATTATGGGATAATTATGTAACATTTTTATTTTTGTTTACATCATTTTTTTTTATTTTTCATGTTAAGCAAGGAGTTCTTACGTCCGGATCCACGTAGTACATAATCTCTTAATCTCTGTAGAATTTTTCTAGAACTGCATCTAGAAAAGAATGAAGGATTCTATATAGAAAAGACAAGCATTGGTGTAAGGTTATACATTCAGTTTATTATACTTATTTGTTTAAATTCAACGACCGCTATAAAGGTTGATCAAAAAAAGTTGATATTATACATGTATTGTTCTCAAATAAACAATACCTATCTATGAAAAAAATTTCATATTGTTTACTGTATTATGAAAAAATAATGAGAAAATTTTTTTTCATTGTTTCGTTGGAATTACAACTGAATTTGTACTTACGCCAAATTATATTTGTACTACGTATTGTACATGATACATATGGGCATTCTTTGAAGAAATTCTTATCAAAAAATTCATTTTCCAAGATACATTTTAAGTTAGTTATTAACTTTTTGGGTTAGAAACTTTCGAAAAGAATTATTTGTAGAATTTATACAGATTTATTATTGAAAATAAATTTATAAATTGGACAACATTCTTAATTGCCTCAAAAAATAATCTAACTTTTTTTCAAAACAAATTAATATATGATAGAACAATTAACAAATTATAAACATAAAATTGACTTTTTATTATCGGATAATATGCAATTATGTCAACAAGCACAAACTACGGTTAAACAAAATAGAAAAGCATATAAAAAATGTAATGAATGCAATAAAAGAAGAAAACCATCTGCTGAGGATTATCAGATTTGTCGCATGTGTCACAAATCAAAAATAATTTTTAAATCAAGTGGAAACAAGGCTATTGATGATTTTATCAAATATACACAAATTAACTTTGTCTCCGAAAATGGAAAAATGGAGTTTGTTGCCTATGATCAATTCAAAAATATAGAATTTATTGCTGAAGGAGGGTTTAGTAAAATTTATAAAGCTACTTGGGTTGATGGTCCAATCATAAATTGGTGTAATGTTATACGTGATGATGCGAATATTTCTCGTAATAATAATTATACTGTTGTTCTCAAAAAACTTCACAATTCTAAAAACTTTACAACAAAGGAACTAAATGAGGTATAGTACATGTAATATTTTAAATCTTTAAATATAACGATGATGTTAAATTGATTTAATGGTTTTTATTTAGCTCATATCAGATTTATTCAGATAGAAAAACTTATAATAGTAACATTAGCCAATATTTTGGAATTACTCAAGATCCTATTACCAAAGATATTATGATTGTCATGGCATATTATAATTCAGGTGATTTGATACGTTACATAAGTAATGACTTTTATAATATTAATTGGGAAACAAAGTTGTTTAGATTACGTAACATAATATTTGGACTTGAAAATATCCATAATTCAGATATTATTCACCGAGATTTACATAGTGGAAATATCTTCATTGGTAAAAATATCTATGGAAATGAAAGTACATATGTAGGTGATCTGGGAATAAGTAAATCAGCAACTGAATCTACAGATAATAATGAGAATTATGGTATTATTCCTTATATGGCACCAGAGATTTTTCAAGGACAAAAATATACAAACGCTTCTGACATATATAGTTTTGGAATGATTATGTGGGAGTTTATGACAGGTAGAAGACCTTTTTGGGATCGAAATCATGATACAGAACTTATTATTGATATTTGGGATGGTTTACGACCACCAATTGTCACAAATGCACCTGAAGGATATATTGAATTAATGAAAGAATGCTGGCATTCTGATCCGGAGAAAAGACCAACAGCTACTGATTTATTTGGAAAAATTCAAAATATGCTACGGAATAAAAATCCAACTGAAATTATTGAATCATTAGATATTGGATCTGTAACAACAAATAATCCAGGTGCCATTTATAAGAGTAGACCTTTAAGTAGCATGATTAATTCTGCAATGTCTTTAAGGAGTTCAAGAAGTCTGTCTATAAATTTAGGAACTGGTAAACAATTTATGATATTAAGATTTACCTATAAATTATTTAATTTTGCTTATTTATGTTACTATTAATAATCATTATTTTCTTAAAAGGTAAAAGAAAAATTGAAGACCTAGTTACAGATAATAATGATGGTATTATGAATATTAAATTTTATCCAGTTGTTTTATTTTGTAATTAACTAAACAAACTTCTAATAAATTAAAACTTTATAGGTCAATGTATTAAAAAGGAAAAATTATGTGAAAATGAAATTAATGGTAAATAATTATTATTAATTAACGAATTCATTTATAATTTTAACTAAAATTTATACTTTTCTATGTTTTTTTAGAATATCTTACGAACGAAATTAAATTTGATATTAATATGAATTTTAATCAATCCCATAAACCTCATAATAAAGGTAAATAGTTTATTGGTGCTTTTAATAATATCTTAGTAATGCTTTTATACGTTATAACCATTTATTTTTTAAATTGAATATAGATTACGTCACTCTGGAATTTGAACTTGATATCGATTTTAATAATCCTTGAATTTATTTTTTACTGTATATCAGATATAAATTTATAGATTTTTTTCGTAAATTATTTTACTTTATTTTTATACTATAAAGGGTAGAAATAATTAATAGTTAAATATTAGTCATAGATAAATGTTATGGATACTGTATAATTTGTTATGTAACAAGAAGTTCAATTTGGTCAGGCGTTACTGTGCATTATCTATATATAGAGCGAGATATAATATTATAAGAAAAATTTCTAGTTATATCGTTATAAAATCACGTCTAATTTGCTGAAATTTTGGCTATATAGTTCGTATGTTAATAAATGAATAGCGTCTCTAATGATTCGTTCTAATGATTATCCATAAAAAATATTATTTTATTATAATTAGAAAAGACGTAATATCTTGTACCATTTCTTATTAGTGCACCAGAATATAAGTTTATTGTTTAATGTAAAGATAGATAATAATAAAATTCATATAAAGGAAATTAAAAATTTCACAATCATAAGACAAAAAAAAAAATTAAATCTTTTTTAATCGTCAATATAAAATTTTTTTGAATTATCATAATATTCATAATATACCTGATTTCTTTTTTTGTCAATATAGAATTATCATAATATTCCTGAAAGTGTTGTCATTATTATTAAAGTGATGCAAATTTAAGATCATATTATTACTGTATTACAAAGCCATAATACCACTTCTGATCAAAATTAATAAGCATCTGAATATAGAAACGAATAATACATATTATAAAATCATTATATAATTTTTCAATCAAAAACTTTTTTTATTGCAAATGTAAAAATCCATTTTTATAAAAAACGATTATATACAATTTACAAGTTATAACTTATAACATTCTCTTTCTTATTTCTAGTTAGTTATTGCTTGATCAAAATGAACTGAGGAAGTGTGTAATATTATAGTAAATTCCTTACGTAACCAACCAAAAATAATTGCACGAGGGTACTTATTAAGAGTCACAATACACAAAAGTCTAAAATAGTTTATTTTATATGGTGATCACTATCAACTTAATGTCCGTGTGCAGGATGATAAAAAAGTTATTTACTATACTATACAATCATCCGGATCATGTGCACAGGTCATGTTAGATCATATGATTTTGCGACGCAGCAATTTAATAATCTTGTCGTGACGTAAAAATTATAATATATTGTAATATAAATATTTTAATGAAATGTGCAAAATCTTATTCCAATAATACTTTTGTTTTCTTTTCCATTGCGAACGACATCAAAATCTGGTGTAAAAATTGTGATTGCGTCACAATATTTCTCTAATTTCCTAAAAAATACCAGACATCGTCAGGAATATGATCGTTTTTATTAATAAAACTGCAAAACAAACTCTTTTTGTACTATACATGATGAATCCTTAAAAATAAAACATTCACAAAAGAATATTTAATTTTTAATTCACTAAATGTTGACCAAAAAATATTTACTAATTTTATTTGCCAACCTCTATCATATTATGATATCAGATAAGTTAAAGTTATTTGTAGTTACATTAATTTTTCGTAATAATTGCTTCTAATCTAGAGACTACCTCTTGAATAGTTGGACGATCATATGGTTCATGTTTCCAGCAACCTATAAATTAACAATACCAGTGATGTCATTAATAATATTTTAAACCACACATAATTGAACTTTTTAATTATAATTTACCAGTATAAATCATTTCATAATTCTTAGGCGTATTTGGAATAGGTGTTTCTCTAAGACCTTGCGATATCAGTGTTCTTAAATTATACTGGTCTTCATATTCGAAAGGTGGCCGACCACTTAACATTTCCCATAAAAGTACACCAATACTATAAACATCGCTCTTTTTATTTAAAGTGTAATTACCTAAAGAAAATTTTTTTGGGTCAATATACGGAATTATACCATTTTGGCATGAAATATCTGATAATCCAAAACCAGTTAATTTGATCGTATTTTGACGGATTAACACGTTTTGGGAGTGCTATTATTTAATTATGAATAAAATAATTAATTTATAAATTATAATCGTAAAATAAATGTAATCAAATATGAGTGAATTACCAAATTAAGATGGATAATATTCTTATCATGTAAGTATGATACAGCGCAAGTTAATTGATGTGCCATTTTTAATTTATCGTTCCAAGTGAGATTGTCAAAATTGTTATTTAAGTATTCTCGAAGAGTACCACCGTCGGCATATTCCATCACCAGTATATATTTCTTTGTTGATTATCTTATTAAAGAAAATATAATATATATTTCTATAAATTATATTTAATGCTTCATATAAAATTAAGTAATATTAAATTATATACCTATTGTAATACCCAAAAATTTAACGATATACTTATGAAATTCTATGTCCCTCTGGATCTTAAGCTAAATAATAATAAAGAATTTTAATAAAATGTATTTATTGCAAAGACGAAAATATGTACTGCAATATGGTTCTAGACATATATATATATCTAGGTCAAAAGGCTGACGAACAAAAGACCGAAACCTATAATGGTCACACCACGTACACGCATAACAATAGATATATTTATTACGTAACATGGGCGTATCTGTCTTTTTAATTGTCGGTTTGACTGGCTCCACTATAAGGATATACTGTATAACTACCTCATAGACAATTTTATCAGCTGTAGCATCGTTGAAAGGTTTTAATGCTAAAGTACTATGAGAACTTTTCCAGTTCGCACGATAGACCTTTCCAAAGCCTCCTGTGCCAATTACTTTAAGATTAGAAAAGTTGTTGTATTCATAACATTTAATATGTTTTTTTGAAATATGTTCTTCAATTAAATTTATCCACTTGGGTATTTTGATATGAGACATTTTACTTACAGAAGTATTCTCACTGCGGAAGAAAAAAATTTCTTTTAAAAAAAAAAGAGTCATGAGTCATAAAACGTTAACAACCGAAGAAATTACCATTTTACTATTAAATAATTTGTATGGTTTTAATAAATTAATATTGTTATAATGTTAAATATGGAATAAAACAAGATATCTTTCAATTATTTCATATTTGGGAAATTGAATGATTCTCAATGTGGTAAAGTTTTTTCTTTTTTTAAGAAAAAAAGAAAGGTTTGTTTCCTGCATATGGATTATTAACAATAACACAGATAGAATATGGGAATAATAAAATTACACTCCGCCATGATTATTTTGCGTTAATAATTAGCCTCATGCAACTTACATATCACAATCGGCATTTTTACTATCAACATTTCCGAAGTTGGATCTTAATCATATAAGGGAAATCATTATTGGGCATTCATTTACGTCATTCATCATTTAAGAGCGAAAAATAAGCATAGAAAATTTTATCCATCTTCAGTAATTTCATAACATTAAAACTCGCAAAAATTTCGATCATACCCTAAAAAAGAAGGTTCGCCGGCGGTTGATCATCAATGTAAAATGTTCGGTAGCTTTATATTTTTAATTTCGTCTGGCTTTATGGTTTCGTGAATTTGATTGGTTTTATATTTTCCTGAATTTTGCTAGTTTTGGCAAAGAATTGGTAAAGATAAATAAGGTGTTTTCTGAACAAATTTCATATCTTCATATCTTCAATTTTTTTTATAGAGTATCAATTTGATGATAACTTTATTATTGTTTTGCAGGAGAAATGGGACAAAAAGAATTGTCAGCATACTAAATTGGGAATTTGGGAATAATAGTACGACACATTATTTGTAATCCTTATAATTGACAACAATTACTTCATCCTCTTATGTTGCAGAAATAATTATATTACTTACTGGTTTAATCGAATATGATCGATCATTAACCGAAAATCGGGTAGTTTTCACCGGCATTATGGCATTAAGAAATTATGGATGTGGCAAATAATGGGTGACAAATAGGTTTGCACAATTGTCTCCGGAATATTTAACTGTTAATAAAAATGAAAAGTAGAGACGACATAACGTGACAAATTTTTTTTTTTTTTTATAATGATCACGTGAACTACTCCGCTTTAAACGTTCCCCAAATATGTTATTCTCGATTAATTGATTATGCGATTGGAATATTGTAATAATTGTATGTAAACGGACTTGTAAGTTGTAACTCACGAAAATTGACGGTTGATTCTACCTTAATCGATCAAGTTAATTGATTGCACATGTATGTATTTATATCATTGTAAGCTATAATGAACTTAAATCAAAGAACGGACAACTGAGTTTGATACTGTAACTCTTTCAAGAATGATTAGCAATCAATGACAAATCTTAAAAAACGTTTTAGACTTTATATTATCCAATTAAGTTTGTTTTGAACATTATTTTTTTTTTGTTTATTGGGTTTGTTAGCTTTGATAAATTATTTGATAGTTATAAATGTATTTACTAAATTTAAAAATAAAATGTTTACTATAATAAAAATCTTATAAATTATAATAATATAATCTAAAAATTTATACTTTTAGAAACGATCAATTTTAACTAATTATAGTTTTACTTGAGGTATTTCCAGAAATCAGATGGTGATTTATTATTATTATTACGGGAACTTGATGTATCATTATTAATACTTCCAATAAGGTCCTCAATATCACTATCATAAGGTAATGAATTAATCCTACTAGAACCTGAAATAGACTGCTGATTATTTACATTAGAATTATACGAATTATTATTTTCATAATTTGAATTAGAATCATGTAACTGAAAATCTCTTTCGAAACTTGATATACATTGCTGGATATCTGTATCAGAACTATATGAATAAAAATCTTTTGCGAAACTTGAAATGGGTTTCTGGACATTCGAATTAGAGTTATAAGGTCGAAAATCTTTAGTAGTAGTCCTTACAAAACTAGGTTGCTGGATATCTACGTCAGAGTTATATGAATAAGAATCTTTTGTAAAACTTGAAATGGGTTTCTGGACATTCGAATTAGAGTTATAAGGTCGAAAATCTTTAGTAGTAGTCCTTACAAAACTAGGTTGCTGGATATCTGCGTCAGAGTTATATGAATAAGAATCTTCTGCGACTTTGTCTAAACTTGAAAAACACTGTTGGGTACTTATTTTAGAATTACACGTATAAAAATCTTTTGCAAAGCTTGAAAGTGAATTTGAATTAGAATCACAAGATCGAAAATCTTTAGTGGTTCTTTCAGAACCAAGTTGCTTGAAACTTGAATTAGAATCGTGTAACTGAAAATCTTCGGTTCTCCCTAAACTTGAAATATCTATGTCAGAATTACACGAATAAAAATCTTTTGCAAAACTTGAAATAGGTTTTTGGATATTTGATTTAGAATCATAAGATCGAAAATCCTTAGTAGTTTTTTCAAAACTAGATTGCTGGATATTTGAATTTTGTAAATGAAAATCTTTTTCAGTTCTCTCTAAACTTGATATATATTTCTGGATATCTTCGTCAGAATTACACGAATATAAATCTTCTACAAAACTTGAATTAGAATTCTGGACTTCTCTATTAAAATCATATAGCTGATAATCATTACTAGTCTCAAAATTTCTTTCCATAATGGCTTCTAATCTAGCAACTATATCGTAGATAGTTGGGGGGTCTTCTTTCCAACAATCTAATTAAATTAGCAAAAAATGTCAAAATTATTATATAATCAATCATAATCAAGCACTTTGTACCATATTTACCAGTATAAATTGTTACATAATCCTTAGGTGTATTGGGGATAGGTCGTCTATAACTATTCTCACCATTAAAAGGTGGCCGTCCACTTGATATCTCCCATAGAAGTAGGCCAACATTATAAATATCGCCTTTAATTAAAGAGTATTCATCCGAATAAAATCTTTCTGGATTAACTCCAAAATCAGCCAATTTGATTGTATTTTGATGGACTAACACGTTATCAGAATGCTATTATATAATGATAAATAAAAATAATTTAATTACAAATTTTAATTATATATATAGTATATATTATTTATTATAAAATTAATTACCAAATCACCATGAATAATATTCTCGTCATGTAAACATGATACAGCGTATGCTAATTGATATGCTATAACGGATTTATCATTCCAAGTGAGACTGCTAAAATTTTCTTTTAAATATCTTCGAAGAGTACCACTGTCAGCATATTCCATCACCAACATATACTTCCTTGAACTATCATATCGATAATCTTATTAAAAAGAAATATGATCGTTCATTTCAATTTCATAAATGATAATAAAGCAAATAATAACAAAATTTTTTTTACCTATTGTGACACCATAAAACTTTATAATATTATCATAAAAATGTTTTTCACGTTGTAATTTAAGCTAAATGATAAAAAAAATATTTTTTCAATTAGAAAAATCTTTATTATAAAAAACGGAAATATGTTTATAACGTAATTACCCAATAAATAATTTTTTCAGCAGTATCTTCATTAATAGTTTTTAAGGCTAATGGATTACGAGAACTTTTCCAGTTTGCACGATAAACTTTCCTGGAATTTCTGAAGCCAATTTCTTTAACACTGGAAAAGCTATTATATTCATAATATTTAATAATTTTATTTGATATGCCTTCTTTAATCCAATTAGTCCAATCAACCCGAGTAACAACGTTGAATTTTGTTTTATTAGACATAATTATGAACGAAAAAAAAAATTCTTAATATGAAAAAAAAAAAATTCGAAAAAAGATTGTTTATAAACTTTATTTACAATCGGGGGAATTGTTATTCCGATTATCTTGTAGCAGGACACAATTTCATTATATAACATTGAGATAACTCCCGAAGTTACACAATTTTGTCATTGGCATATGTTTTACTAGTTTATCTTTTCNTTTTTTTTTTTTTTTTTTTTTTTATTTATCGCCAAAATCGGAATCGGCTTAACGGACTAAATCTCCAGCGGATCTAACCATAGATAGATCGATCCTCCTCTCTTTCGGGAATAAAAAAGAAGAGATTATATACAAATTTTTTAACTCCGAATTTTATATTTATACAATGAAAAAATGGAAATTATAGTTCGGGCGGAAAACAAATTAAATTAATCATGGTTAAATTTTGTGAAATGTGAATCATATCATCACATGACGTTTTTTAAACGAAAATATCCACGTGACCGCAAAATTTACCAATCACATACGCTTCGCTCCGAAAATAAGATCACAAAATCTTACAAACAGCTAATTAACCGATTTTATAAAAATTTTTTAAAAATTTATCAAATCTCTTTAATATTTGTAACAAAAATAACAAAAATTATATAAAACGTTTACAAACTAATATTTTTTGTATTATAATTTAAAAAGGTAATTAAAGCTGATGAAATAATAAAATATTAAATAATAAAAAAAACTAAACAAGATTTCGACCCATCATGCTATATTTATTTGTAAGTTTATAGGATCTGCAATTATCACTTTGTAATCTATAGAAATTATTTATAGCTTTTTGGTTTCCTTGTTTAGCAGATTCGTTAAACCAATACATTGCTGCACAAGTATCTCTTTCTTCCTTTTCACTTAAAATTCCAAGAGTGTACTGAGCTAAGCTATTTCCTTTATTTCCTGCTTCCTCATAGTACTTATAAGCTTTTTTATTATCAGCCAAAGTTGCAATTCCTAAATAATAAAAATCTCCAAGTACAAGAAGAGAGTTGGCTTCACTTTGATTATTTGATAGCCAGTCAAAAATTTCTCCTGAAGTTTTATGATGTTCTTTAATGTAATTAAGAATTCTCTGCTTTTTATTTCGATCGTATATGTCATCAGAAAGAGCAGCTATTCCATCGACTATATCTTTTTCGGATTTTTGCTTATAAAAGTTAGTCTGAGGTGCTTTACTCGGTGACTTTAAAGGTTCTACTTTGATTGTATTATTCATATTATTATTAAAACCTCGAGGCAAATTGTTATGTGATAAACTATTAATAGGAGGTGTCCAAGCAGACCTCTCAGTTATATTATATTTCGTCATAATTGCTTCTAATCTAGCAACCACATTTTGGATAATTGGACGATCATCTGGTTCATGATTCCAACAATCTATAAATTAACAATATCATCAATGTTATTGATAATAATATTTTAAACCATAATTAAGCTTTCAAATTATATTTACCGGTATAAAGTTTTTCATAGTCCTTAGGTGTATTAGAAATAGGTGTTTCTCTAAGACCTTGCGAAATCCTAATCGGTAATCCAAGCTGATTAGACTTATCTCTAAAAGGTGGCCGACAGCTTGATATTTCCCATAGAAGTACGCCAATACTATAAACATCGCTCTTTTGGTTCAGAGAGTATGAATCAGTTACGAACCTTTTCGGGTCAGTATAAGGAATTACACCACCTTGTTGTGATGCACTTGGGTCATTAATAATTTTTGATAGTCCAAAATCAGCCAATTTGATTGTATTTTGATGGACTAACACGTTGCAGGAGTGCTATTAATTAATAATAAATAAATAACTGAACTAAAATTATAAATACATAATAAATGTAATATAAACAAATGAATTACCAAATCACAATGAATAATATCCTCTTCATGTAGGCATAATACACCACTAGCTAATTGATATGCCATTTTGAATTTATCATTCCAAGTGAGATTGTTAATATTTTTTTCTAAATAATTTCGAAGTGTACCACTGTCCGCGTATTCCATTACCAACATATAGCATTTCTTTGAACCAGAATTTTGATTATCTTTTTAAAAGAAAATAAAATATTTAATTTATAATTTTCATAAATTATATTAAAATTTCATATAAAATCAAATATTAGAATTATTTATACTTATTGTAACACCATGGAATTTTATAATATAATCATTAAAATGTACTTCACGATGAATTTTAAGCTATAAAATAATAAAGAAGAATTTTTTTATTGGAAAATGAATTTATTATAAAGACGAAATATACTTTATGTTATAATATATCACCTCGTAAACAATTTTTTTAGCATTGGGGTCGTTGATAGATTTTATTGCTAAAATATTACGAGGATTTTTCCAGCTTGCACGATAAACCTTTCCGAAGCCTCCGAAACCAATTTCTTTAAGATTAAAAAAGTCTTTATATTCATAATGTTTAATATAATTTTTTGAAGTAGCATCATCAATCCAATTTGCCCAGTCTTGTTTAGACATTTTTATCTACAGAAGTAAAGTGGTTTAAATTTCTTTTAAAAAGCAAGTTTATAAAACAATATCAATCGGAAAAATTATTCCCCAAAAGTGAAAGTTGATCATTGGGTTACAAAACCGTATATGGAATGGTTTTATTTATTTTATTTTTTCCATACATATACATTATAATAAAATAAGGTAATACAATAAATAATAACAATTTGATAGCGACTTCATTATTAGGTTTCCATTTAAAGACATTAATAAGCGGAATATAAAATTTCATCCTAACCCGATATTGACATTTTTACACATCTCCAAAGCTGATTGTCAATTTTTTTGACGATCGATTATAATGAGAAATTGTTGCTTTGTTTTATTCATTTTTTTTTGACGTAATAGAATTTGTTATTATAATCTGATACGTAATTTTTTTCAAAATTAAATACGTATCGGTATTATATGAAATTTAATAGTAGATTTTAAAAATTTTTTGTTATGCGCATATGGAAAGCTGCACAAATATAAAGTATTGTTTGTATTTCTAAGTTGTACTATTGTTTCATTGTTGTAATTTAAATGTTATGATCGATACAAATTAATTACAATCACGAGACCAATTTGTCACGCAATGAACATCGGCAAAATTTTATAATTTGTGATGATTTAAGGTGGATATCAGTTTTTATATTTTTTAAAAAAATTATATCCTTTTAACGAAATGATTATTAACATTTCATTACTTTTCTTTTTTTAGGTGGTCAGTACATCAAATCTATAGAGATTGATTTCAGTAAAGGTAGAAAAGAGTTGGTAATGAACTCTTTCTTTTATCAGAACGTTTTGTAGGCAGATTCCTTTGTAAATGAACGATATTATAATACGATTAGTAGAGTATCAATAAGGAATGTTGGGATCCGATTAGACACATAATAGATTTGTTTAGGAATTTAGTATAGATTTAGCATAGATTTCAAATGTATTTTATTGATATAATAAAACTGAACTACATTTAACAATATAGTAATTTAACGTTATCTAACAATAAATAATATAATGTTATTTAATATTTAATACAATAAATAATCTAATTTGTTTTACTGTAAGATAATAATCATTAGTGATGATACAGTTGTTAATTTAATCATATTGTTAATAATCGACGAGTGCGATTATTATCGATATATATCACATTTTAAAAATAATGGGATATATATCGATAAAGTGATATATATCGCTATATATCACCTGTAAAAAATTTCCCGATGTAATACATCTATAAAAAATTTATGAAAATCGAATCACTAATTATTAATAATTTAATAATACAAAATGATTAACCAGCTACTGCAACTTCGCAACCTTGACAATTTTAATATTGATATAATTTTCTAATTAATTACTGTAAAATTATGAAGCACATACATTAGATTCGTCTCATAAAGACGTATCCAATGGTAGTTGTTTCATTTTTCTAATATTGATATATAGTGAATTAGCTTCATTTAACTGTTTTTAAAAACTCATGAATATCTGTTGACCTATGATTGTCAGAGATATAAAATTACCATCATTAGATGCATCTCAATGAGGTGAATCTAGTAAACCATATTTTATTTTTTCTATGATTATTAGATAAAAGTTATCTCACAATAAATATTTTTTCTTAAAAATGCTTATTTGGTTATATAACTGTTATATACTGTAACAATGTAACAGTTATATAACACGCTATATATGTTATATAAAACAGTGTTATATAAAACTGCCCATTAGAGGTATCCAAGCAGACCTCGCAGTTATATTATATTTCGTCATAATTGCTTCTAGTCTAGTAACTACATTTTGGATAGTTGGACGATCATCTGATTCATGTTTCCAACAATCTATAAATCAACAATATCATCAATGTTATTGATAATATTTTGATCATAATTAAGCTTTCAAATTATATTTACCGGTATAAAGTTTTTCATAGTCCTTAGGTGTATTAGAAATAGGTGTTTCTCTAAGACCTTGCGAAATCTTAATCGGTAATACAAATTGATTAGACTTATCTTTAAAAGGTGGCCGACAGCTTGATATTTCCCATAGAAGTACGCCAATACTATAAACATCGCTTTTTTGGTTCAGAGAGTATGAATAAGTTACGAACCTTTTCGGGTCAGTATAAGGAATTACACCACCTTGTTCTGATGCACTTGGGCCATCAATCATTTTTGATAATCCAAAATCAGCCAATTTGATCATATTTTGATGGATTAACACATTGTTGGAGTGCTATAATTATATAAAATAACTGAATTAAAATTATAAATACATAATAAATGTAATATAAAATAATGAATTACCAAATCACAATGAATAATATTCTCATCATGTAAACATGATACAGCACAAGCTAATTGATATGCCATTTTGAATTTATCATTCCATGTGAGATTGTAAATATTTTTTTCTAAATAACTTCGAAGAGTACCATTATTTGCATATTCCATTACCAACATATAACCAGACTTTTCAGAATTTTGATTATCTTGTTAAAAAGAAATAAATGTTAATTATAAATTACATTAAAATTTCATATAACTAATATCAAAATTATATGCCTATTGTGATGCCCAAAAACCTAATGATATTCTCATGAAAATCGACGTCGCGCTGGATTGTCAGCTAAATAATAAAGATTTTTTTTTATTAGACATGCATATATTATAAACTGAAGACGAAATATATGTTAAACATATATGTTATAATGTAGACACCTCGTAAACAATGTTTTTAGCTGTATAGTCGTTGAGAGATTTTAATGCTAAAGTATTACGAGGATTTTTCCAGTTTGCTCGATAAACCTTTCCGAAGCCTCCAGAGCCAATTACTTCAAAGTTAAAAAAGTCTTTATAGTTATAATATTTAATATGTTTGTTTGAAAGAGATATTTCAATCCAATTTTTAGACATTTTTATATATGGAAGTGCTTTTGCTACGAAAGAAATGTCTTAAAATCAAGTTTATAAATAATTGATAATCGGAGGAATTATTGTTTAACTATTCCCAAAGCAACTGGAGTACAAAAAACGTGTTTTCTATGTATGGAACGTATGGTTTTTATTATTTCCATATACAGAATAGGGAATGAATGACGCTATTAATCGGACAATCGGATTATATTCTAACAAAGCTGGATAGCGCCTTCAGATCATTAGGCTTCCATTTACGTCCTTTGTCATTAAAGTGCCATTAATGAGCGGAAAAGAAATGTAGTTAAATTTTATCTTGGTGTAGATGTTTTGATGATCGTAAACAGGTCATAAAAAAATTGTCACACTATATTTTAGAGAGTACGACAGATTACCGAATAGGAAAAGGGAATTGTCTGTTTTTACTCTACGATAAAATATTCCAAAAAAAACATAGTTCTACGTATGAAATGTATGGTTTTTATTATTTCCATACATAAATAATATGGTAATATACTGAATAAACAACTTTCATATTTGGAGCATTATTAGGCTTCCATCTATGACCTTTACTAAGCATTAATAAGCGGAATAGAGATGTAAGTAAATTTTAGCTTAACCCAATATAATTGTATATTATCTCCATTTTGACGTAATAGGCGTAAGATGATATGGGTTATTATAATCTGATATATAAAATTTTTTTTTTCATAATGTAACATCAAATTAAATATGTATTGTATAGTAAAGATTTTAGATAAATTTCAATAAACTCATAACTTGCATGAATTCATTGAAAAAATAGCTCAAATTTTTTTAACACTCATATTGAACAACTTTTTTTGGTACTTTTTTTTTATTTATTTATTTTTTTTAACTATGGTTACAAAGATATAAAACATTTATTTGCATCAGTTAATAAACTTTACTTTGAAAAAGGTCTAGCTGAAATTTTGACTAAAAATCTAAGCGACTTGGATAATTTTATGTTTTGAGGCTATAATTCCGCGATTATGATATATTTACGGAAATAACATCATCACTAAATTTTTATATTGCACAAATACTTAAATTTCTCAAAATTTATGCAATATAGTTATATGTAATTTTTTGTACAAATTTTTTACAATATATCACATAGAAAATTACTCAATATACATATTATATATATTAAATATGCAAATAATGTGCATTTTCAGGCAGGGTGTGCAAATCAGTTTTTTCATGCACGAAATTTTGCATATTCTCTACACATAAAAAATTTCCTGGTGATGGAATAATAACACGAAATGAATTTTTTATAAAGATGGATCGAGTGTAAATTATTTTATTCCTTTTTCACACAAGAATAGATAATCTTTGATCACACGTTTTAATGCACTATAGTAAAATGGATATTTTAATCTCGCTTGCTACTTCACCACGTTCGTATTTCGATAAAGCAGAAATACGCTCTAGGTGAACATATGGAGAATTCTGAATGACAATATGCAGACGAAAAGAATATAAAGTATTGTTGATATTCCAAGTTTTGCTAAGTATACTTTGTTTCGTTGTTTATTCAGAATATAACTGTTAAGCAAAATATGGACCAAAATAAAAGTAAAGTGAAGAGAAAAAATAGTAAACGTAGATTTTTAGTAAAAATTTGGATAAAATTGTGCTACAGGCGGATAATATTTTTTTCCGTATCAACTAAAAAAATTGCAATACTGTATTTGTGACGTCTATTTGCGTTTTAAAAAATTAGTTATTGCTAGTATATCATAAATACTTTTTATAATTAAAAATCTTTACCCTACAAAAAAAATTTTGGAATAAACTTCGAAGAAACTCTGACACGTGATCATTTTTCTGAAAAACTTTTTATAGGGTTACCGATAGAAACAGATATATAAACAGATGCTCTGTCCTTTTTAATAAAGTTTAAACTTTTTCTTTATTTTTAAATAATGGCAGCAGTAATTGTATACGTTGCATAAGCTTCATTATTTCATTATGATATGCATTATCGCATGTTTAACATGTATTTGACGTAATTCTTTCAATTTTTCGCCTTTTATATAGTTTCATTCATGATACACCATAGTATTACCAGTGTTCAAAAATGGTCAACCATTTTTTGATATAGTTATAGTCATGTGATTTATTAGATTGTTTTTAATGCATCGGTAATTTCTTTAAGGAAGTAAAAATGAATTTATAAAACCATCCTAAAGCATTAAAATAAATAATTTAATAAATGAATTAATTTATTAAGGATGTGAAGGAAATTTTAATATAATGGAATAATAATTATTGAAAAAGCGAAGCTACTGCAGGCTGCTCCTCAGATCATAAATTTAAAGTATTTACACAAATGGTAATTTAAAGTCCTGTAAACTGAAACCTTTTCGTTCCTCTTCATTCCCTAGGTTCATTTTACCCATAACACTATGTAAATTTGCGGGGTTAAAGGTTTTGTTTTTAGATGATTTTAATCTATAGTAATGATTTATAGCATCTTGGTTTCCTTGTTTAGCACATTTGTCAAACCAATACATTGCTTGAAACGTATCTTTTTCATCATTTTCACATAAAATTCCAAGAGTATACTGAGCTATACTACTTTCTTCAAGAGCTGCTTGTACATAGTAATCAAAGGCTTTTCGCTTATCAACCATAGTTGCAATTCCTAGATAATGAAAATCTCCAAGTACAATATTAGGGTTGATTCCATTTTGATTGTTTAATAGCCAGTCAAAAATTTCTTTTGATGTCGTATGATGATCTTTAATGTAATCAAGAATTCTCTGTTTTTTATTTTCGTCATATATATTATCAGCAAGAGCAGCTATTCCATCAACTATCTCTTTCTTAGATTTTTGCTTATAAAAGCTAGCCTGAGGTGCTTTACTCGGTGACTTTAAAGGTTCTACTTTGATTTTATTATAAATATTATTATTAAAACCTTGAGATAAATTATTACGTGATAAATTATTAATAGGAGGTGCCCAAACATGCTTTGTAGTTATATTACGTTTCACCATAATTTCTTCTAATCTAGAAACTACATTTTGGATAGTTGGACGATCATCTGGCTCAGGTTTCCAACAATCTATAAATTAACAATATCATCAATGTTATTAATGATATTTTAAATCATAATTAAACTTTTAAATTATATTTACCAGTATAAATTTGTTCATAATCCTTAGGTGTACTAGGCATAGGTGTTTCTCTAAGACCTTGCAAAATCTGATTCTGTAATCTATATTGATTAGATACGTCTTTGAAAGGTGATCGACAACTTGATATTTCCCATAGGAGTACACCAATACTATAAACATCACTCTTTTTGTCCAGAGAGTGTAAATCGGCGAAGAACTTTGTTGGATCAATATAAGGAATTACATCATATTTTTTTGATAGTTTGGGGACATCGACCTTCAATTTGATATTATTTTGATGGACTAACACGTTGCTGGAGCGCTATTATATAATAATAAATAAATAAGATTACAAATGAATAATAAATATAATACATATAATATAATATAAATAAATTACCAAATCACGATGAGTAATATTCATATCATGTAGGCATGATACGGCACAAGCTAATTGGTTTGCCATTTTGAATTTCTTATCCCAATTGAGATTTGCAATATTTTTTTCTAAATAATTTTGAAGAGTACCACTGTCGGCATATTCCATCACCAACATATAGTATTTCTTTGAACCATAATCATTAACTTATTAGAAAAAAATAAATGATTTAGATTTTTTATAAATTGTATTAAAATTTTTCACATAAAATAAATAATATTAAAAATATTTATTATACCTTCTGTAATACCATAAAATTTTATAATATTATCATGAAAATGTACCTCGCACTGGATTTTAAGCTAAATAATAAAAGAATTTTTAAATTAAAAAAAGTATTCATCTAAAGACGAAATATATATTATAATGTAATCCACCTCTTCAACGATGTTTTTGTTTGTGGAGTCTCTGAAAGATTTTAGTGCTAAAATATTACGAGAATTTTTCCAGTTTGCTCGATAAACCTTTCCGAAGCCTCCAGAGCCAATTACTTCAGAGTTAAAAAAGTCTTTATAGTTATAATATTTAATATATTTTTTTGAAATAGCTTCTTCAATCCAATTTTTAGACATTTTTATATATGGAAGTGCTTTTGCTACGAAGGAAATGTTCAAGTTTATAAATAATTAACAATCGGAGAAATTATTCCCAAGAATCTGTCGATCATTGGAGTATGGTTTTCTATGTATGGAATGTATGGTTTTTATTATTTCCATATACAGAATATAATCAAATAAGGGAATAAATGACACCAATAATCGGACAAATGGATCAGCTGGATAGCGCCTTTAGATTATTAAGGCCATTAATAAGCGGAAAAGAAATGTAGTTAAATTAGTTAAATTTTATCTTAGCCCAATATGATATTTATCTCCGTCATAACATATTTATAATCATCTCCAAAGTTGATTGTCATAAAATTTTATTTTTTTATTTTTTTTTATTTTTTTTACCTACTAATAAAGTCAAAATCATGTGATTGTCGATCAATGAAATTTTTTATGATGCTTAACTCCAAACATGTGATCAAAATCAAGTTGGTTTAAATTGCAATAATTTTTTTTATAATGCTTCTCTATCATGTCAAATGAATCACAAGCTATATCAGTAAATAAATTATGTTATAGAAATTATAGCACCAGAAATAATTATAATTATGCCGTTTTTATTTAATAATGTTATGATACTGCATCGTATAATTTTATTTTTTAAATAAATTAAATTATTAAAAATTTTTTTTTTTAAGGAAAATTATTTATTAATAAATTTATTTTTTTTTAATAACGAACAAGTAAAAGTGTCACAATATCAAATAAATGCGGCTACTGTAATTCGTAGTAAACGGCTAAACAAGGACCCCGGTAAGTCTAAGGTAATAATTTTACTATTAGCTCTAAGAATCTCTTTCAGGGCCGGAATTATAATAATACCAGCCAGAATCTAAGAAAGGAAATAATTTCCTGACTAGAGTTATCAAAATTATCCATAAAAGGAGAAAACTACTTGATTATTTTGGCCATTCTACGTGTTATGGACGTTATGGGTATTTTTTGAAAGAGTAGGTAGGGGTAGACAACCAATTAAATCACTTTACCTACATGAGTCTTTTCCGGTATCCTGGTTAAACACACCAAATACTATACTTGAAATCAAGTGTTAATAATTTATAATTGAGTATTACAAAGTATTGATATAGTAGTGCTTAGTTCTCATGAAAAATATTAACGTTTCATTGGGATTTACCGTTCACATCGTTCGCAGCAATCGCAAAAATAGTAGATCCGGCAAGTTTGGACTTAAATCTAAAATTTTATTAAAAAACAATTATAACTAATGATTTGGTTACAAATTTAAAAGTGAATTTACTAAGATTTAAAATGACTATTTAATATTTTATATGTAATAACCAAATTAAGATGTCTCATGTGGTTTATTACTAACTTTTATAAATTATTATTAATATTTCTAATCGTCTGTTCGATTTCTTCATAATTATAATTACTTGTAACAAGTTGTTGGCTACTTGTACTAGAATTACATGAATAAGCAAAGTTTGAAATAGGTTGATGTCTACTTGTACTAGAATTACGTGAATATGCAAAGTTTGAAATAGGCCGCTGGCTGCTTCTATTAGAATTACATGAAATAGGCTGCTGGACATCTGTATCAAAATTATATGCCCGAGAATTATTTGTATTATTATTTTTTTTAATAATTGCATCTAATCTAGTAACCACCTCATTGATATTTGGACGATCATTAACTTCATGTTTCCAACAATCTATAAAATTATGATAGCAGCATTATCATATTGTACAGTATATCATAATCAAACTTTTTAAATTATATTTACCAGTATAAATCTTGATATAATCCTCAGGTGTATTAGGGATAGGTGTTTCTCTAAGACCTTTCGGAACATTCACAACTAAAAACCACTTTTCTTTACCCATATAAGGTTGCCGACCACTTGATATCTCCCATAAAAGTACGCCAATACTATAAACATCGCTCTTTTCATTTAAGGAGTATTTTTCGAGCGTAAATTTCTTTGGATCAACGTACCGAACTGCGCCAGTTGCCGATTTTGATCTAACTAATATATCCATCTGTTTTGATAATCCAAAATCAGCCAATTTGATGGTGAAATGACTGAAATCTTGTTCGCTTCTCGAGGTTCGACTGTTTCGATGGGTATGGACCAATACGTTTTCGGAGTGCTATTATTTAACAATAAATAAAATAAATAAAATAATTAATTTATAAATTATAATCTCAAAATAAATGTAATTAAATACGAATGAATTACCAAATCACGATGAATAACACCCTCATTATGTAAACACGATACAGCGTTAGCTAATTGATAAGCTATTCTAAATTTATCATTCCAAATGAGATTACTAAAGTTTTCTCTTAGATAATTCCGAAGAGTACCACTGTCGGCATATTCCATTACCAACATATATTTCTTTAAACTATCATTTGGATTTTCTTAATTAAAAGAAAATAAAACGAAAATAATTGTACACTTTACATTTCGTAAAATATATTAAAATTCATATAATATAATGTTAGAATTATTATACCTATCGTAATGCCATAAAATTTAATAATATTGTGATAACAATGCACTTCACGCTGGATTTTAAGCTAAGTAGTTCAAATAGATTTTAATTACAAATGTATCATTATAATGATGGAAGTAATGTATATATTAGTATAATGTAATAACCTCATAAATAAGTTTTTCGGCGATTTTTACATTGCTGAAGTCTTTGGGTCTAAGAGATTTTAATGCTAAAGTATATACCAGGATTTTTCCAGTCTGCACGATAGACCTTTCCGAAGCTTCCGGAACCAATTTCTTCAAACTTTAAAAAGTCTTTATAATCATAATATTTAACGTGATTATTTTTAATAGCCTTTTCAATCCAATCAATAAACATTTTATTATCAGTACTGCACCCATTGGGAACAGGGGCTGATTTAATTATACCAGACATAGTTATTAACAGATAATTCTTACTGATGAAAAATTTTAAATGAAAGGATTTATTTATAAGCAATATTTACAATCGGAGAAATTATTATTCCAACTATTCCGACATGATCATTTCATTTCATTATAAACAATTAAATGTTATAATAAAGACAAGAAAAAGTATGTAATAATAGTATATTTGAGTAATTAATTTGTGCCAAATTGGGAATTCGTTATAGTGATAATGATTATTACCATAAATCTTTTAACCATGAAATCGGAGTTGATGAAATGGATCTTTTTCACCTTGTTTTTGTTCCTTTTTTTTTTGTTGAATTCCTTATCAATTTTTGTAAATGGCGTTATTATGACTCTGAAAAGTATTAAGCCATAAATACCATTTAGCCAAAATAATTATAGCGTATTTTCTTATTATCTGTAAAATGATTTCGTATTGTTACACGAATTTCTTTGTGAATCATGCATACTAGTCTAAAAATATTATATGAAAGGAAAGTACTTGATACTGCACTGTACATATTTTATACTGTATATATAAATAAATCATTTTGCTATTTTATTATTAGTTTGTTTATATTACTAAAAAGAAATTAGATTTTTTTTTATTATAAATTTATAACTCTTAATTGTTTTTATACTTTGTATTTCATGATTCATAAACAAAATCACATCGCTCTTGATTTAATGAAAACAATTTCTAATAAAAATGTATTTATTATAAAGACGAAATTATAAATTATGTAACCACCTCATAAACTGTTTTTTTCGACCGTATATTGTTGAGAGCCTCCGGAACAATTACTAAAAGTTTTTTATACTGATAATATTTAAAAGCTCTTTTTTTTTTTAAATACCATCTTCAATCACTCAGAATTATGAACGTATATGGTTTTCTATTTACGGTAGGTATGGTTTTTATTATTTCCATATTTATATAAAAATAAAGTAATATGTAATGAATAACATCATAATCGGATATTATGCTAATATTTCCAAAGTTGAATAACATATTTGGAGCATTATTAGGCTTCGGAAAAGAAATATAGATAAATTTGTCTAAACCTAATATGAACTTTTATGACATTTTTATACATCTCAAAATTTGATTGTCATAGCTCCAAGCGGAAGAAATTATTGCTTTTTTTCGACGATTATAATATTATGTAACGGGCGAAATATTGAAGAAATCGGTGTTTAACTTCGAAGGGTCTTCGGAAAACCAACTGAATCCACTTATCAAATTCTTTGGAAACGAAGAAAGGTAATAAAAACGACCACCAACTCATAGAAAGAAAAGTGATAATGGATAGGTATAAAGAAAAGAAGATAAAACACCCATGAAAATAATGAGATCGTGTAGAGTTTTAATGAATGATATCATAAGAAAGGCACTATAAGGGACGTGACGAGAGGTTCCAAAGTAGCTAAGAAAATTTTTCAACGAGTTAGAGCAGTTATTCTTTAAACGGGTTAATTGATTTTTTATAACTACACTTTTAATGTAACCGTAATTTATGCTACCTATCAGATCCCTTTGACTTTTTTCATAACAAAATTATCAAAAAATCTTTATAAATCTTTATAATTCTTTCTTTTATTAAAAATTTAATGAAAATATCAAAAACAAATAAAATTTATTATTATTTAAAAAGTGAAAAAAAAATACTCGTATCATTAAATTTATCAATACTATTTGCAGTAATAATCTTATTTGGAGCATTTCGTAATCTATTTAAACCTTCCCAAGCTATATGGTTTCCCTGTTTAGCTGATTTATTATACCAATACATTGCTGCAAATGTGTCGCCTAATTTATCAATTTCATACATAACTCCAAGATTGTATTGAGCTATGCTTAGTCCATCATCTCCATCTCCTGCTCTCTCATAAAAATTATAAGCCTTTTTCTTGTCAACCATAGTTGCAATTCCTAAATAATAAAAATCTCCCAACACAAGAAGAGAATTTGGATAATTTTGATTATTTAATAACCAGTCAAAAATTTCTATTGAGGTCACATGATGATCCTCAAGGTAATCAAGAATTCTCTGTTTTTTATTTCCATCATATAACTTATAAGGAAGAGTAGCTATTCCATCAACTACATCTTTCTTAGATTTAGATCCTTTTTGTTTGAAACTTTGTGACAAATCATTACGTGATGAAAGTGATGAATTATTAGGTGATGAAAGTGATGAATTATTACGTGATGAAAGCGATGAATCATTACGTGATGAAATCGATGAATTATTAAGTGATGAAAGCGATGAATCATTACGTGATGAAAGTGATGAATTATTACGTGATGAAAGCGATGAATCATTACGTGATGAAAGTGATGAATTATTACGTGATGAAATCGATGAATCATTACGTGATGAAAGCGATGAATTATTACGTGATGAAAGTGATGAATCATTACGTGATGAAATCGATGAATTATTACGTGATGAAAGTGATGAATCATTACGTGATGAAATCGATGAATTATTACGTGATGAAAGCGATGAATCATTACGTGATGAAAGTGATGAATCATTACATGATGAAAGCGATGAATTATTACGCGATGAAAGCGATGAATCATTACGTGATGAAAGCGATGAATTATTGCGTGATGAAAGTGATGGATTACTATGTGATGAAAGTGATGGATGATTACGTGATGAATGGGATGAATTATTAATAGGAGGTGTCCAATATTTTGTGATTTTACTAATAATTGCTTCTAGTCTAGCAACTACATCGTGAATAGTTGGACGATCATATGATTCAGGTTTCCAACAATCTATAAATTAACAATATCATCAATGTTATTAATTATACTTTAAATCAAAATTAAAACTTTTAAAATATATTTACCGGTATAAAGTTTTTCATAATCCTTAGGTGTATTAGGAATAGGTGTTTCTCTAAGACCTTGCAAAATCTGATTCAGTAATCTATGTTGATTAGATTCGTCTTTGAAAGGTGGCCGACAACTTGATATTTCCCATAGAAGCACACCAATACTATAAACATCACTCTTTTGGTTCAGAGAGTATGAATCTTTGGAGAATTTTTTAGGATCAATATAAGGAATTACACCATATTGTTTGTCATCAATATTTTTTGATAATCCAAAATCAGCCAATTTGATATTATTTTGATGGACTAACACGTTGCTCGAGTGCTATTATATAATAATAAATTAAAAAGATTACAAATACAAAATACATATAACATATGTAATATAATATACAGTAAATATAGTAAATATTAAAATTACCAAATCACGATGAATAATCTTCTCATCATGTAAGCATGATATAGCGCAAGCTAATTGATGTGCCATTTTGAATTTATCATTCCATGTGAGATTACCGATATTCTTTTCTAGATATTTTCGAAGAGTACCGCTGTCGGCATATTCCATTACCAACATATATTTCATCGGACTATAATTTTGTTTATCTTATTAAAAGAAATATTATTATTTAATCATAATTAAATTAAAATATCATATAAAACAAATATTAGAATTATTATACTTATTGTAACACCATGGAATTTTATAATATTATCATAAAAATGTACTTCACGCTGAATTTTAAGCTATAAAATAATAAAGAAGAATTTTTTAATTGGAAAATAAATTTATTATAAAGACGAAATATACTTTATGTTATAATGTAATCACCTCGTAAACAATTTTTTCAGCTGTAGAGTCGTTGAGAGATTTTAATGCTAAAGTATTACGAGGATTTTTCCAGTTTGCTCGATAAACCTTTCCGAAGCCTCTGTCGCTAATTACTTTAAAGTTAGAAAAGTCTTTATAATCATATTGTTTAATACGTTTTTTTGAAATAGCTTCTTCAATCCAATTCATCCAATCTGGTTTATTGCTGTAAGACATTTTTATGTACAAGATTGTTCTTACTACGAAAATATTTTTTTTTTTTTTTGCGAGTTTATAAAGTTTATAAAACATTAATCGGAAAATTATTACTCCTAGTCGATCATTGAGATAAAAAAGAATGGAGTTTTCTATGTTTTGAATGTATAGTTTTTCATTATTTCCATATATATTAAGGGCATTAATAAGCGGAAAAAAAATATAGAGAATGAAAATTTTATCTACACCCAATACGAGCTTCTATGACATTTTGTAACATCTCCAAAGTTGATTGTCAACGTTAAATAGAAGAAATTGTAACATGAGATTTTCATTGTAATTGCTATTATAATGCATAAAAAATGTTTTTTTCTAAATCGGGTGCGTGATTATACACTTATACTATGTAAATCAAAAATACATGTAATAATAAAAATTTAATAAAGATTTTTAGTTATTATAGAAACATTGACAATTGGAAAAATTATTACGATACAACTGTCGATCATTGGATAAACAAAGTCGTATGGCTATCTATGGAATCTATGGAATCTATGGAATGTATTTGATTAGCTCGATTTTTATTCGTTATACGGTATAAATCATATTTATCTTAAAATGACTTTCAAATATCTGTATGTTCCTTTATTAATTAAAAATTCTTGTTTTAATACTTCTTTTATACTATACCGATATCAATAAATTATCAAATAATTGTAAGTTGGGCCAATATAAAGTTATAACATTAAATTATAGACATAATTGTATTAGAAATATGTCGAAAATAATGACAATTACTAAATAGTTAAATATGAATATGTTTATTACATCTTGGCTAATAATTTACTCTCGATAAATTTATAATGACGTTTATTAGAATTACGGATTATTACTAATCATTTTAATAAGTTGTTCGATATCATCATCAGAACTATATGAATAAAAATCTTTTGCAAAATTTGAAAGAGGCCTAAGAGGCTTCTGGACATCTGAATTGAAATCATATGATTGAGAATCTTTTGTGCTATTATTTTTCGCAATAATTGTTTCTAATCTTGAATGAGGCCTAAGAGGTTCTGAATTGAAACCATATGACTGAGAATCTTTTGTACTATTATTTTTCGCAATAATTGTTTCTAATCTTAAATGAGGCTTAAGAGGTTTCTGGACATATGAATTGAAATCATAAGACTGAAAATCTTTTGTACTATTATTTTTCTCGATTATTGAAAGAGGCTTAGGAGGTTTCTGGACATATGAATTAGAATCATATGACTGAATATCTTTTGTACTATCATTTTCCGCAATAATCGTTTCTAATCTTGTAACTATCTCTTCGATATCTGGACGATCATCTGGTTTATCTTTCCAACAATCTATAAAATTTTAATTAGTTACCAATATTAGCAATATTATTAATTTATTGCAAATTTTAACTTTTGAATATATTTACCAGTATAAATTTTTTCATAGTCCTTAGGTGTATTTGGGATAGGCCTTTCTCTAAGACCTTGCGGAATATTGACAATTAAATAAAAATTGACTTTACCCTCGAAAGGTAACCGCCCGCTTGATATCTCCCATAGAAGTACTCCAATACTATAGATATCGCTCTTTTTACTTAAAGAGTATTTTTTATCCAACGTGAATTTTTTTGGATCAACGTACCGAACCATGCCAGTTGCAGAGTTTGATCTAACTAATTCATCAATCCTTTTCGATAGTCCAAAATCAGCCAATTTGATGGTATTTTGGTGGACTAACACGTTGCTGGAGTGCTATTATATAATAATAAATAAAATAAGATTACAAATGCATAATAAATATAATACATGTAATATAACACAAATAAATTACCAAGTCACGATGAATAATATCCTCCTCATGTAAACATAATACTGCGCAAGCTAATTGATATGCCATTTTGAATTTATCATTCCACGTGAGATTTATAAAATTTTTCTTTAGATATTCTCGAAGAGTACCACTGTCGGCATATTCCATTACCAACATATATTTCTTTGGACTATTATTTCGAATTTCTTATAAAAAATAATAACAATTGTTCAATTTAATTTATTACAAGCAAGTAATATCAAAATTATTATACCTGTTGTAATGCCATAAAACTTAATAATATTATCACAAGAGTGTACTGCGCGCTGGATTTCAAGCTAATGATAAAAAGAAATTTTTAATTAGAAATATTAGAAATGTATTAATTATGAGACGGAAATATAAACTATATGTCCCACCTCATAAACAATTTTTTCAGCTGTGTCGTCGTTGAGAGTTTTTAATGCTAATACATTACGAAAATTTCTCCAATATGCACGAGAAACCTTTCCGAAGCTTCCAGAACTAATTACTTTAGGGTCTTTAAAGCCTTTATAATCATAATGCTTAATATGTTTTTTCGAAATACCATCTTCAATCCATTTAATCCATTTATCATCAATTTGCTGAGACCGATAAGTAGTAGGTACTGAAATGGCGGACCTAGTTTTATCGGACATAGTCAGGTACAGACCGTACAGTAAAATATTACTATGAAATAATTTTTTTAAAAAAAGTTTATTATTATAAACATTACGGAGAAACAATTATCCCGATTTGCAGAATATATATAGTTAATATGGGAATAAATAGGACAACTGATTTACTTGCAGAACTTGAATGAAATAGGGGTTTTCAAATGTATTGTGTTTTAGTACTACATTTTTTTTGATTGTTTATTAATTGATCTAACCATAAAGTCCAAATTAAGGTGATAATGGGACCGATTTTTAATTTATTTAAATTTCATTTTTAAAAATTGAATACTATATTTAAAAATACATATTTGTAATAAAAGCATATGTAATACTAATAATAATAAAGGTCTATTCTATTTTTTTTTTTTATTCATTCGGAGTTAAATGAGTTTCTTTCACCTTTTTTTTTTTTATTGAAAAGTAGCTTTTTCAAGACTATCGATTTGCGCCAAAGACTGGTTTTGACGATCAATCTAACCATAAAGTCGGACTTTATGACGATAATAAAAAATGCTTTTGTTTGTCACACATGAAATTGAGTGATGATCATTTTCGCATCAAGACTACACATTAACTCTTCCAGTGATCATAGAGATATGCAATATTTATCATAACAGACTTTGAGACGCGTCAAATAATGTATTTTAGGATAATGAATGTTCTAAAGAAATAAATAAATAAGCGCTAACAAATTCTTTCTTGATACAGATACCATAAGGACGAAAATCCGCTCCATCTGGGGAAATCCAATATTCACCAATTCCAGTTTCTTCTTTTGAAATTCTAATTAAAGTATTTGGATTAACTCTATTTTGAAACACGACTCTATATTCATCCCGTCAAGAGTGAATTTAGTAGCATATCGATACGCAACATCAATATCTGGAGTGGAATAAATTCCATTGCCAAATAAGAATCGTTTACCTTTACACAAGAGATAACCGATCAACATCTACTGTTATAGTTTTACCCGTTAATGTTTTAACGAATACGTAATTTCGTCTAAAAAATTTGGCTCTTTAGAATTTTTTACGATTACTATTATAATCTGTCCCTATTAATACTTTTGAATTTTCACGCCACGGTATTCTTGATTGTCCGTCATTATTATTTATATTGTTAGTAGGAATTTTACCGCCAACCAAATGAGATTGATGAAAAGATATTTCATCCAATAGATTATTTCCAGAATAACCATTACGAGGAATAAATTTATTATTTCCAGAACAATTATTATAAGGAAGAATCGTGTTATTCGCAATAGCACTTAATGCTGCGTATAATACTTTGTCTTTCATTTTCTCGATTTTCTTTTAATACATGAAGAAAAAAAAATAGCGTTCATTAATCTATTAGATTTTTTCTTTAAAAAAAAAATGGATACTAAGGGAATCATGTTTCATTTAAATATTGTAATCAATCATTGAGACATAAATTTATTTTACTTTTAAATTTTTCTTTGTTTGGATTAAAACAGAATGTTGCGCCAAGCATTGAATAGATCATAATATGAATGAAATGTATGTATGGATTTTACTATTTCCATACATACTAGATAATATTAATTGATATATGACATTACATTGCAATCGGACATCGGATCTTAGGTTGACAACAATGCTTACCGTTTTTCATATTTGGGAACATTATTAGGCTTTCGTTTGCATTTTTTGGTAATTAAAGAGGCATTAGGAAATTTACTTATAGATTTTTATGCATGAAATGCACGGTTTTATTATTTCCATACGTACCAGCAACTATGCTCAAAGTTGGATAACATATTTGGGAACATTATTAGGCTTTCGTTTGCATTTTTTTGTAATTAAAGAGGCATTAGGAAATTTAATCTATAGATTTTTACGTATGAAATGCACGGTTTTTATTATTTCCATACATACCAACAAGTCAACAACTATACTTGAAGTTGGATAACGTTTTTCATATTTGGAAACATTATTAGGCTTTCATTTGCATTTTTTGTTATTAAAAAGACATTAAAAAACTTAATTTATAGTTTTTTTATGCATGAAATGTATAATAGTCGCAACAATTTCTAAAGTTGGATAACATTTTTCATATTTGGAAACATTATTAGGCTTCCATTTGCATTCTTTGTTATTAAAGAGCATTAACAAGTGGAAAAGAAATATTTATAAATTTTATTTAAACCCAATACGAACCTTTATGAACATTTATGCACCAAAGTTGATTGACGTAACACAAATTTTTTTTTTTTATGACGATCGATTATGATGGATATTCAGCGTTCATTGTTACAGTACGTTACAAAAAAATTTTTTTCATAAATCCGTCTCTGTAATATCAAAACAAAACATGTTTTATATAAAATTTAATAAAGAATTTTGGATAAATTTCGATAACTTTATAACTTGCATGAATTCATTTTTTTTTTAAAAAAAAAGCTCAAATATATATTAGATATCAAGATTGAAAGTTACAAAGCGAATTTATTTACATTAATAAGTAATCTTTACTTTTGATTTGCAGTAGATTTAAAGTATGCTTATTTAACGGCCAAATAGATATTTTATATTATATATAACGAATGACCTTGTAACTTTATTTATTTTAACGTTTGCACAATTTTGTAACAAAGCTAGGAATAGCTGGAATGAAACGAATATATATAAATCATATATACACCATCATTTTCAAATTTCAACTTAAATCCATCTAGAAAAGTGATATACAATGTTAGATTCATATTGATGAAGCAAATCCAACTGAATAGTAGTTATTTAACTCGAAGGAATTGACATGCTTTTTCAATATTTTCTTATCGCCGAAATTGGAATTTGGAATTAATCACCGTGACTTCGGTTAATAATTGATTTAACCATAAAGTCCTTGCAGAACGGAATAGGAAAAAAAATGAAAAAAAAATCGAAAAAATTTTTTCGGTCTTAACCCGAAAAAAAGGAAATTTGAAAGAAAAAAAAACAACCCGAAAAAGAAATTGGATTATTCATGATTATCTTAAACACGTAGTCATGTCGACATGTCGTCTATGGTAATTCTCATTTACCGTACACATGACCCAAGTATAACCACCCTCCAAAAAATGGTAGCCGGATCTAATTTGCCGGGTTAACACGTGATTTCGGATAATGAATTTCGGTACTTTCATAAGTATTTCGACCATTGTAATAATTTTCAAATAAACTCATATTTATACATATCTCAATTGTCAGAATTTTATCAAAGCACAACATGCATATTTTTATTTATTTTATTTAAACATGTTTCTGAAAATTTAATACTACTATTCCCAATACCTTATATTCTTATTAAATCTTTCCAAGTTCTCGGAATAGTTCTACGATTTTGAAGTGCTATAATACCATTATTCATTTTTCCAATGAATTAAAATTAGAACGAACATTTTTTAATCATAAATGCCGTTTTGGCTTGTTACGTGATTCTTCTAATAATTCTTAATAAATATTTGCAGTACATCAATAAAAAATTAAAAATTAAATTTTTTATATCACAATATTCGTTTATATTTAGTATTTCCTGCAAATAGTCTTTGTATTATTTCGGCAACGTAAACACTTTTTTATGATAACACCTTTTATATTCAGGAACTTGGTTTGACATAATCAAATAAAAACAGTTCATTAAAATGAAGAGAAAAAAAAACTGATTTAAAATTGATCAAGAAAAAATTATGTCATGTGTCGACGACATGTCGTGGATGATCGACATGAGATCATTAAAATCACGTGTAACCCGGATCAGGCTATAGGGTGGTTACGTAGATTTTTTTTTTTTTTTTTTTAATAAAATTGTTTTCACTTTCTTATAATCGCATTGAATATTTCGATTCTGTATTAATATTATTAATATTAAGTTTATTAATTTCGTTTAGTTTTAACTTCCCTCTATCGTATTTACCGCAGCAGATCGAACTTTGTACTGCGTTATTTTTTTTATCTTATTAGATCCGACAATTTTTGACTTGAACGATTATTTTTATTTTATTTATTTATTTTACTTTATTTAAGGAGGCGCATTAAAGTCATATGACTAAAATTCATTTGTACTTTTATCTATCGCAATAATTGTTTCTAATCTTGTAACTACCTCTTCGATATCTGGACGATCATTTGGTTCATATTTCCAACAATCTATAAAATTTTAATTAGTTAACAATACTAGTAAATGTTGTTGAGATTATTTTAAATCAATATATTTACCAGTATAAATCTCTTCATAGTCCTTAGGTGTATTTGAAATAGGCTCTTCTCTAAATCCTTTCGGAATATTCACAATTAAAAAATAATCGCCTTTACCCTCGAAAGGTGGCCGACCACTTGATATCACCCATAAAAGTATGCCAATACTATAAATATCGCTCTTTTCATTTAAGGAGTATTTTTTAGGATCCACCGTGAATTTTTTTGGATCAACATACCGAACTACTCCGGGTGCTGATTTTGATTTAACAAATTCATCAGTCCTTTTTGATAATCCAAAATCAGCCAATTTGATGGTATTTTGATGGACCAACACATTTTTGGGATGCTATTATCATTATTTAATATAATTAATTAAATTATGAATTCATATTCGTAAATATATACAATTTAATATAATCAAGTTCAGTTACCAAGTCGCGATGAATAATCTTCTCGCCATGTAAACATAATACTGCGTAAGCTAATTGATGTGCCATTTTGAATTTATCACTCCATGTGAGATTTTTAAAATTTTTCTCTAGATATTCTTGAAGAGTACCACTGTCGGCATATTCCATTACCAACATATATTTCTTTGAATTATCATTTCGAATATCTTATAAAAAAATAATTGTTTAATTTAGATTATTACAAACAAGTTATATCAAATTATTATACCTGTTGTAATGCCATAAAACTTGATAATATTATCATAACAGTGTACTTCGCGCTGGATTTTAAGCTAATGATAAAAATAAATTTTTAATTAGAAATATTAGAAATATATTTATTACAAAGACGGAAATATACAGTATAATGTATATCTTACCTCATCAACAACTTTTTCAGCTGTGGAGTCGGTGAGAGTTTTTAATGCTAATATACTACGAAAATTCTTCCACTCTGCACTATAGACTTTTCCGAAGCTTCCAGAACCAATTACTTTAAGGTTGGAAAAGCCATTATTGTCATAATACTTAATATGTTTCTTCGAAATACCATCTTCAATCCAATTAATCCACGCTTTATTATGAGACCAGTAAGCAGGCGCCGAAGAAACAGATTTAGTTTTATCGGACATAGTCATGTACAGTAAAATCTTACAATGAAATAAATTCTTTTTTTTAAAAAAGTTTTTTACTTACAAACGGAGAAATTATTATTCCAATTATTCCGATTAGCAGGATATATATAGTTAATATAGGAATAATAGGATATCTGATATTATTTAAATGAAATAGGGGCTTTCAAATGTGTTCTGAAAAGGCGTGTTTTAGTATTACATTTTTTGATTATTTAGTAATTGATATGTATAACCATAAAGTGAGACCGATTTTTAATTAAAGAAGGTTTATTTGTTGATTTTCATTTTCTAATTTACTTTTTAATTATTGAATACAAAATTTGTAATTAAAAGTATACCGTATACGTAATAATAAAAGAATCTTTCATCCTTTCAAACTCCGAAAAGTGCTTTGTGCTGTGTTGATTAACCTTATTTGTGTTAATTCTTATCACAAGATAAAAGTTCAAACTAAAAAATACGTAATGATTATTTTTGATGAGCGTCATAAACTATGATTCTAACCATAAAGTCCCAATTAGGTCGATAATTAGACTGATATTTTAACGTTACATTTGTTACACATGATATTATGATGATAAAATTTTCGCTTTTCAAAATTGTGCTACCATACAATAGATCATCTGATAAAAAATTATTAGATTACAGGACGATTACCGGACTAATGTTGTCCTGTAATCGTCCTGTAATCATAATCACTCAGTAATCACAACGTACACAGATTCTGAAAACTGCGATAATAAAAAATTAAATATACACTATTTGGACAGTCGAACATAATGCACATTGTTTAATCGTCATCAGTGATCATAACAAAACCAGATTTATTATAACGAGACGCACATATTTTTAGTACAAAATCTTAAGTGGTATTATAATATTTATCAAATCTCTTCCAACATTTAATGAGGTATCGATTAGAAATTTTTTTATATATAATTTTTATAAAAGCAATAAAAAACAAAAAAATTATCGATTAAAAATACCCATAGAACCATATTTTTGTATACTACTCGAACTAACAGTCTTAGTACCTGAAGTACCTCGTAATCTATAAAAACTTTCCCTAGCTTCATGATTTCCCTGTTCAGCTGATTTATTATACCAATACAGTGCTGCAATTGTGTCGTCTAATTTGTCAGTTTCATAAATAACTCCAAGATTGTATTGAGCTACGCTAAGTCCATCATCTCCATCTCCTGCTTTCTCATAGAATTCACAAGCCATTCTTTTGTCAACCTCAGTTGCAATTCCTAAATAATGAAAATCTCCCAACACAAGAAGAGAATTGGGATAATTTTGATTATTTTCTAGCCAATCTAAAATTTCTTTTGAAGTCACATGATTATCTTCAAGGTAATCAAGAATTTTCTGTTTTTTTCTTTTATCATATATTTTAGAAGGAAGAGCAGCTATTCCATCAACTATATCTTTCGATTCTTTTTGCTTGAAACTTTGTGATAAATTATCACGTGATGAAAGTGATGAATAATTACGTGATGAAGGCGATGAATTATTACGTGATGAAGGTGATGAATTCCAAGATTTTGTGGTTTTACTACTAATTGCTTCTAATCTATCAACTACGTTATAGATAGTTGGACGATCATCTGGTTCGAATTCCCAACAATCTATAAAATTATGTATAAATTAGCAATACATATACAGAATGTTGGTATTATTGAAAACATAACCAAACTCTTTATATTTACCGGTATAAATCTTTTCATAGTCTTNGGATAGGTGTTTCTCTAAGACCTTCCGGAATATTCGTAAGTAAAAAGTATTCGCTTTTACCCTCGAAAGGTGGCCGACCACTCGATATCTCCCATAGAAGTACACCTACACTATAAATATCGCTTTTTTCATTTCGAGAGTATGAATCACTTGCGATTTTTTTCGGATCAATATAAGGAATTACACCATATCGTCGTGATGTAACTGATTCATCAGTCTTTTTTGATAATCCAAAATCAGCCAATTTGACGTTATTTCCATGGACCAATACGTTGTTGGAGTGCTATTAATTATTTAAAGAAATAAAATAAATAAAATAATTACATCATAATTTCAAGGAAATATATATATAAAAGAATTACCAAATCACGATGAATAACTCCCAAATTATGTAAAATTGATACAGCGCTAGCTAATTGATATGCCATTTTGAATTTATCATTCCAAGTGAGATTTCCAGAATTTTTTCTTAGATACTCTCGAAGAGTACCACCATCGGCATATTCCATTACCAACATATATATTTTTGAACTATAATTTTGATCGACTTATTAAATGAAAATAATTGGTTAAGTTAGATTTTCATAAAAAATAAATAATACTAGAATTACTATACCTCTTGTAATGCCATAAAATCTTATAATATTGTCATGAACATTTACTTTACGCTGAATTTTAAGCTAAATAATAATAAAAAAAATATTTTTTAATAAAATGTATTTATTATAAAGACGTATATTGTAATCACCTCATCAACAAATTTTTTTGCTTCGGAGTATTTGAGAGATTTTAACGCATAAATATTATGAGAATCTTTCCAGTTTGCACGATAAACCTTTCCGAAGCCTCCGGTGCCAATTCCTTCTAAGTTATAAAAGTCTTTATATTCATAACAGTTAATATGTTCGTTTAAAATAGCTTCCTCAATCCAATTGTTCCAATTATATGACATTTTTCTGTTCAGCAGACAAAAAAAATAATTAAAAAAATAATTTTGTAATATAGTTATTTATATATTATCCGTCGATCATTGGGGTTACAAAAAAATTAAATATTGTACGCAATCTACACAATCTAGGATAAAATTACTATCACTTTTTTCATTGCGAAGTATTTTCAGAACTTGAATGAAATAGGGGCGTTCAAATGTATTCTGAAAAACATGTTTTAATTATAACAGATAACATTTTTTTGGTTATTTTAGTAATTAATCTAACCAAATTAAGATGAATTATCGAATACAAATTAAACATAATAATAAAAGAACCTGTTCTAGTTAAGGTTTCTTTCACTCTTTTTTTCATTGAGAAAAATTATGTGCTGTATTGCTTAACCTTATTTGTGTTAATTAAGTTATATACACAATAAAGCAAGGTTCAAGTGTGAAAAAAATAATTATTATTGTTGCTGAGAGCGCCAAAAAACTGTGATTTTTGATGATCAATCTAACCATAAAGTCCCATTTAGGTCGACAATTAGACTGATCTTTAACAAAAAAAAAAGTTACATTTGTTACACATGATTTGATGATCATTTTCATGGAATAAATTTTTTTAATCAAAATTGTGCTACCCCATTATAGATCATCTGATAAAATATTATTAGACAGATCCTGTAATCATAATAAGTACACAACGTACACAGATTCTGAAAACTGCGATAATAAAAAAAAAAAAAATACACTATTTGGACAGTCGAACATAATGCACATTGTTTAATCGTCATCAGTGATCATAACAAAACCAGATTTATTATAACGAAACGTACACAGATTCTGAAAACTGCGAAAAAAAAAAAAAAAAAAAAATCAAATATACACTATTTGGACAGTCGAACATAATGCACATTGTTTAATCATTATCGGTGATCTTAGAAAGATGTAACAAAACCAGATTTATTATAACGAGACGCGCCAAATAATGTATCTATATTTTTAGTACCAATCTTAAGTGGTATTATAATATTTATCAAATCTCTTCCAATATTTAATGAGGTATCAATGAAATTATATATATATATATATATATAATTTTTAAAAAGCAATAAAAAACAAAAAAATTATCGATTAAAAATACCCATAGAACCATATTTTTGCATACTACTTGGACTAACAGTCTTAGTACCTGAAGAACATCGTAATCTATTAAAACTTTCCCAAGCTTCATGATTTCCCTGTTCAGCTGATTTATTATACCAATACAGTGCTGCAATTGTGTCGTCTAATTTGTCAGTTTCATAAATAACTCCAAGATTGTATTGAGCTACGCTAAGTCCATCATCTCCATCTCCTGCTTTCTCATAGAATTCACAAGCCATTCTTTTGTCAACCTCAGTTGCAATTCCTAAATAATGAAAATCTCCCAACACAAGAAGAGAATTGGGATAATTTTGATTATTTTCTAGCCAATCTAAAATTTCTTTTGAAGTCACATGATTATCTTCAAGGTAATCAAGAATTTTCTGTTTTTTTCTTTTATCATATATTTTAGAAGGAAGAGCAGCTATTCCATCAACTATATCTTTCGATTCTTTTTGCTTGAAACTTTGTGATAAATTATCACGTGATGAAAGTGATGAATAATTACGTGATGAAGGCGATGAATTATTACGTGATGAAGGTGATGAATTCCAAGATTTTGTGGCTTTGCTATTAATTGCTTCTAATCTATCAACTACGTCGTAGATAGTTGGACGATCATCTGGTTCAAATTCCCAACAATCTATAAAATTATGTATTAATTAGCAATACACGGAATGTTGGTATTATTGAAAACATAACCAAACTCTTTATATTTACCGGTATAAATCTTTTCATATTCTTCAGGAGTATCTTGGATAGGTGTTTCTCTAAGACCTTTCGGAATATTCGTAAGTAAAAAGTATTCGCTTTTACCCTCGAAAGGTGGCCGACCACTTGATATCTCCCATAGAAGTACACCTACACTATAAATATCGCTCTTTTCATTTCGAGAGTATGAATCACTGGCGATTTTTTTCGGATCAATATAAGGAATTACACCATATCGTTGTGATGTAATTGATTCATCAGTCTTTTTTGATAATCCAAAATCAGCCAATTTGACGTTATTTCCATGGACCAATACGTTGTTGGAGTGCTATTAATTATTTAAAGAAATAAAATAAATAAAATAATTATATCATAATTTCAAGGAAATAAGTATTATAAAAGAATTACCAAATCACGATGAATAACTCCCAAATTATGTAAACATGATACAGCGCTAGCTAATTGATATGCCATTTTGAATTTATCATTCCAAGTGAGATTTCCAGAATTTTTTCTTAGATACTCTCGAAGAGTACCACCATCGGCATATTCGATTACCAACATATATATTTTTGAACTATAATTTTGATCGACTTATTAAATGAAAATAATTGGTTAAGTTAGATTTTCATAAAAAACAAATAATACTAGAATTGCTATACCTCTTGTAATGCCATAAAATCTTATAATATTGTCATGAACATTTACTTTACGCTGAATTTTAAGCTAAATAATAAAAAAAAAATTTTTTTAATAAATTGTATTTTGTTATAAAGATGTATATTGTAATCACCTCATCAACAAATTTTTTTGCTTCGGAGTCTTTGAGAGATTTTAACGCATAAATATTATGAGAATTTTTCCAGTTTGCACGATAAACCTTTCCGAAGCCTCCGGTGCCAATTCCTTCTAAGTTATAAAAGTCTTTATATTCATAACAGTTAATGTGTTCATTTAAAATAGCTTCCTCAATCCAATTGTTCCAATTATATGACATTTTCTGTTCAGCAGACGAAAAAAAATAATTTTTGTAATATCGTTATTTATATATTATCCGATGTAACAGTCGATCATTGGGTTACAAACAAAAAATTCAAGTAAATACTGCAAGATCACTTAAATATTGTACGCAATCTACGGAATATAGGATAAAATTACTTTCGCTTTTTTCATAGTTGTTATTGAACATTTCGATTATGTTGGTCTTATTTCTAATACTCGTGCGAAGTATTTGCAGAACTTGAATGAAATAGGGGCGTTCAAAATGTATTCTGAAAAGCATCATGTTTTAGTTACTATAACATTTTTTTGGTTATTTTATAATAATTAATCTAACCATATAAGTTCAAATTAAGATGAATTATCGAATACGGATTTATAATTAAAACATAATAATAAAGAATCTGTTCTATTTACTCTTTTTTTTATTGAAAAATTCCCCTTACAACTTTTCAAATAACTCCGTGCTGTATTGCTTAACCTTATTTGTGTTAATTAAGTTATATATATAGTAAAGTAAAAGGTTATTGTGAAAAATAATTATTTTTGTTACACGTTTATTTGAGAGCGCCAAAAATTGTGATTTTTGATGATCGATCTAACCATAAAGTCCCAATTAGGTCGATAATTAGACTGATCTTTAACAAAAAGATTTTTTTTCGTTACATGATATTATATAAAAAAGAAAATTAAATATGCACTATTTGGCAATGCACATTGTCTAATCATCATCTAGTGATCGTAGAAAGATGTAACAAAAACCAGATTTATTATAACGAGACGCGTCAATTAATGTATTTTTATATTTTAGTACAAATCTTAAGTAGTATTATAATATCTGTCAATCTCTTCCAATATTTAATGTGGAAAAAAAATACTCATATCATCAAATTTATCAATACTATCTACAGAAAGTGTCTTACTTGGAGCACTTCGTAATCTATAAAAACTTTCCCTAGCTTCATGATTTCCCTGTTCACCAGATTTTTTATACCAATACATTGCTTTAAATGTGTCGCCTAATTTGTCATTTTCACATATAACACCAAGATTGTATTGAGCTACGCTAAGTCCATCATATCCATCTCCTGCTTTCTCATAGAATTCACAAGCCATTTTTTTGTCAACCTTAGTTGCAATTCCTAAATAATGAAAATCTCCCAACACAAGAAGAGAATTGGGATAATTTTGATTATTTTTTAGCCAATCTAAAATTTCTTTTGAGGTCACATGATGATCTTCAAGGTAATCAAGAATTTTCTGTCTTTTACTTTTATCATATATTTTAGAAGGAAGAGCAGCTATTCCATCAACTATATCTTTCTTAGATTTAGATCCTTTTTCTTTGAAACCTTGTGATGAATTATTACGCGATGAAAGTGATGAATTATTACGTGGTGAGGGTGATGAATTATTACGTGATGAAGGCGATGAATTATTACGTGATGAAGGCAATGAATTATTACGTGATGAAGGCGATGAATTCCAAGATTTTGTGGTTTTACTACTAATTGCTTCTAATCTATCAACTACGTCATAGATAGTTGGACGATCATCTGGTTCAAATTCCCAACAATCTATAAAATTATGTATAAATTAGCAATACCCAGAATGTTGGTATTATTATTGAAAACATAACCAAACTCTTTATATTTACCGGTATAAATCTTTTCATATTCTTCAGGAGTATCTTGGATAGGTGTTTCTCTAAGACCTTTCGGAATATTCGTAAGTAAAAAGTATTCGCTTTTACCCTCGAAAGGTGGCCGACCACTTGATATCTCCCATAGAAGTACACCTACACTATAAACATCGCTCTTTTCATTTAAAGAGTATAATGTATTACCGGCGAATTTTTTTGGATCAACATATTCAATTACACCGTGACAACCTTGTGATTTATTTGACTTTTCAACCTTTTTTGATAACCCAAAATCGGCCAATTTGATGTTATTTTTATGGATCAATACGTTATTTGAGTGCTATTATATAATAATAAATAAAAAATATTTATATAAAAGTAATTACTATTGGCCAAATTAATTCACCAATTTCCAAAAAACTATCGGATTGGCAAACCACCCGTTAAAATTGCGAAAAGATATTATAATATAAATAAATTACCAAATCACGATGAATAGTGCCCTCATTATGTAAGCATGATACGGCGCTAGATAATTGACGTGCCAATTTTAATTTACTATTCCAACTGAGTTTGGGTTTTTCAAATCTTTTTTTTAGATATTCTCGAAGAGTACCACCATCGGCATATTCCATTACCAACATATATTTCTTTGAACTGTTATTTGGATTTTCTTATAAAAATTTTAAATTACACAGTTATTATCTTTTTAATAAGTCATATTATGGGTTTTTTTTTAAAATGAATAATATTGGAATTATAATAATACCTATTGTAATGCCCAAAAATCTAATAATGTTCTCATGAAAATCCACGTCGCGCTGGATTTGAAGCTAAATAATAAAAGATTTCTTAATAATACGTATTTATCATAGAAATATACTAAAAAATAATAATGTAGTCACCTCATGAACAATTTTTTCGACTGCTGTAGCATTGTTGAGAGATTTTAATGCCAAAATTTTAGACCTTTTCCATTTTGCACGATAAGCCTCTCCGAAGCCCCCAGTACCAATTTTTTCAAGGTTGGAAAAATTTTCATATTCATAATGTTTAATATGTTTTTTTAATATAGCTTCTTCAATCCAATTTACCCACTCAGGTTTACTGTTATAAGACATTTTTCTGTTGTGTAGACGAAAAAAAATATGCGTGCATTTAATTTTTTTAAAAGGAGGGGCTCATAAAACATCGACAATTGGACATTCATAATGTTACCTAATATAGGAAGCTATTTACTTTACATGTGATGAAATAGGGCGTTCAAATGTATTCTGAAAAGCATGTTTACTACATTTTTTTTGATTATTTTAATCTAACCATATAAGTTGAAATTAAGATTAATTATCGAATACAAATTTATAATTAAAGAATCTGTTCTATTTATTTCAGAGTTAAGGTTTCTTTCAATCTTTTTTTTCATTGAAAAATTCCCTTTTAACCTTTCAAGATACGATTTTGTAACTCCGAAAAAGTATGTACTGTATTTCTTAACCTTATTTGTGTTAATTAAGTTATGTAAAGCAAAAGGTTCAAGTATGTTATTTTTGTTACATATATGTTTATCTGATAGCGCCAAAAAATTGTGATTTTCGATGATCGATCTAACCAATTAGATAATTAGACTAATCGTTAAACAAATTTTTTTTGTTACATTTGTTACACATGATATTATGATGATCATTTTCATAGAATATTAATTAATAAAAAAAAAAAATCAAATATACACTATTTGGCACATTGTCTAATCATCATCTAGTGATCATAGAAAGATGTAACAAAACCAGATTTATTATAACGAGACGCGCTAAATAATGTATTTTTATATTTTTAGTACAAATCTTAAGTAGTATTATAATATCTATCAAATCTCTTTCAACATTTAATGAGGCGGAAAAAAAATACTCATATCACCAAATAAATCAATACTATCTACAGAAAGAGTCTTACTTGGAGCACTTCGTAATCTATAAAAACTTTCTCTAGCTTCATGATTTCCCTGTTCAGCAGATTTTTGATACCAATACATTGCTTTAAATGTGTCGCCTAATTTGTCATTTTCACATATAACACCAAGATTGTATTGAGCTACGCTAAGTCCATCATATCCATCTCCTGCTTTCTCATAGAAATTATAAGCCATTTTCTTGTCAACCTTAGTTGCAATTCCTAAATAATGAAAATCTCCCAACACAAGAAGAGAATTGGGATAATTTTGATTATTTTCTAGCCAATCTAAAATTTCTTTTGAAGTCACATGATGATCTTCAAGGTAATCAAGAATTTTCTGTTTTTTTCTTTTATCATATATTTTAGAAGGAAGAGCAGCTATTCCATCAACTATATCTTTCGATTCTTTTTGCTTGAAACTTTGTGATAAATTATCACGTGATGAAAGTGATGAATAATTACGTGATGAAGGCGATGAATTATTACGTGATGAAGGTGATGAATTCCAAGATTTTGTGGCTTTGCTATTAATTGCTTCTAATCTATCAACTACGTCGTAGATAGTTGGACGATCATCTGGTTCAAATTCCCAACAATCTATAAAATTATGTATTAATTAGCAATACACGGAATGTTGGTATTATTGAAAACATAACCAAACTCTTTATATTTACCGGTATAAATCTTTTCATATTCTTCAGGAGTATCTTGGATAGGTGTTTCTCTAAGACCTTTCGGAATATTCGTAAGTAAAAAGTATTCGCTTTTACCCTCGAAAGGTGGCCGACCACTTGATATCTCCCATAGAAGTACACCTACACTATAAACATCGCTCTTTTCATTTAAAGAGTATAATGTATTACCGGCGAATTTTTTTGGATCAACATATTCAATTACACCGTGACAACCTTGTGATTTATTTGACTTTTCAACCTTTTTTGATAACCCAAAATCGGCCAATTTGATGTTATTTTTATGGATCAATACGTTATTTGAGTGCTATTATATAATAATAAATAAAAAATATTTATATAAAAGTAATTACTATTGGCCAAATTAATTCACCAATTTCCAAAAAACTATCGGATTGGCAAACCACCCGTTAAAATTGCGAAAAGATATTATAATATAAATAAATTACCAAATCACGATGAATAGTGCCCTCATTATGTAAGCATGATACGGCGCTAGATAATTGACGTGCCAATTTTAATTTACTATTCCAACTGAGTTTGGGTTTTTCAAATCTTTTTTTTAGATATTCTCGAAGAGTACCACCATCGGCATATTCCATTACCAACATATATTTCTTTGAACTGTTATTTGGATTTTCTTATAAAAATTTTAAATTACACAGTTATTATCTTTTTAATAAGTCATATTATGGGTTTTTTTTTAAAATGAATAATATTGGAATTATAATAATACCTATTGTAATGCCCAAAAATCTAATAATGTTCTCATGAAAATCCACGTCGCGCTGGATTTGAAGCTAAATAATAAAAGATTTCTTAATAATACGTATTTATCATAGAAATATACTAAAAAATAATAATGTAGTCACCTCATGAACAATTTTTTCGACTGCTGTAGCATTGTTGAGAGATTTTAATGCCAAAATTTTAGACCTTTTCCATTTTGCACGATAAGCCTCTCCGAAGCCCCCAGTACCAATTTTTTCANTCAATCCAATTGTTCCATTTAGTAGTATATCTATTATTATATGACATTTTTTTGTTCAGCAGACGAAAAAAAAATAATTAAAAAATAATTTCGTAATATCGTTATTTATATATTTTTAATAAAAGAGGGCCGATGTAACAGTCGATCATTGAGGTTACAAACAAAAAAATCAAGTATATACTGCAAGCGTTCTTGTAAAAGGGTGAAGGTCAAAAAAACTTTTTTATGGGATTTGCTTAATTTCATTGTAAAATTTAGTGTTATACCGAATACGTAATAAATAAAAGAATCTATTCCATTTATCCGGAGTTATGGTTTCTTTTTTTTTTCCCTTTCAAGACGATTTTTGTAACTCCGAAAAAGTGTGCTGAGTTATTGCCTAACCTTATTTGTGTTAATTTAGTTATATATATAGTTCTTTTTACAAAACAAAAAGGTCAAGTGTGAATTGGTTTTGTTGAATGACGTTTATTTGAGAGCGCCTGATTTTGACGATCTAACCATAAAGCCCTAATTTGGTCGATAATTAAAAACCCAATCTTTGATAAAAATCAAAAATGGTATTGATGGTATGTTTTGATACATTTGCTACACAAGAAATTGTTGATCATTTTCATAGAGTTTGCAATCTATAAAAAAAAAAATTTAAATATAGATTACATCATCAGCAGAATTTGCAGCAGAACTCGTTAGTTTTACAGTAATATAGCGACTTGCATCAATTAGCGTTATTTTTAACGCGGTTTCTAGGAACAATAGTTAAAAAGAAAATTATTACCGTAGTATTTATTGCCCTATAAAAAAAGTTGTCCAAACACTGTTCGGTTTTTTGTTCGGAAAATTGACCCCGTTCCGAACATTTACTTGACATTTATTGGACAATTATCATGATATTGTACGTTTTTTATGTGGTCGAAAATTCTCAATCTCTGCATCTTGTATTAAATTGTAACAAATATGTACGTATAATAACGTGCGAGTGTTCGGAAAATCGACCCCATTCCGAATATTTATCAAACAAACATTTTTTATAGGGTTGATGATACAGTAGCTCATTATCTGACGAACCATTAAATTTTATTATGAGATATAAATATTGTAAATATGTAAGTAATAATAGCATATCAAAAAAACTGTGTTTATACAATAAAAAGTATTTATAATTAGTCAACTTTATCAAACCTTTTGACTTACATAATAAAATTTATCTTTATTCATTTTTTTTTTTTGTTTTGGCTCATCTTTTTTTATTCTATTAATATAGAATACTCAGATTGATACAATACATTTTTTATTTTTTATTTTTTCTTTTTATATTATTTTTAAATAATGCAGGAAAGTTTTAAACCCTAAATCGTCTAAAAAAATAATGCATGATTAATGATATATAGTACTTTTAAATTTTAATTGATAACTAAACATTTTATTTATTTACAACGTTAATTTTAAAATAATTTTTTTTTTTATCCAGATTTTCATTAAGTAAATCATCTGGATGATATATTTCACCCAGACTACTAATTTTCAATTGTCATCACAATAATTTATTATTGATAAAAAAATCCGATAACGTACATATTTGTTTCATACATGTATCTCAGGGTATTTAATTGACTCGAAATTCATGGTCGATGATAAGTAATCAAACTAATCAATTTCTGATCAAGCCGAACGTCCTGTGGCGCAGTAGGTTATTGTCGACTTCCCTAGCGTAACCTGAAAAAAATGTCACGAAATGGCCGGCATTATTACGCAACTTGACTGAAATTAAGTGTGGCGCACTTGTGACGAATAAGGTGTGACGAATAAGTTTTTACCTACTCGAAAAAAACTAAGTCCCTCAGATACTTATAGAAAATGGAAACGCAGTGGGGTGTGACGGTTGTGACAAAAATGTCACGTGATTTTTCGTGACATTTTTTTCAGGTTACGTAATTGTCGTAATTACGGCCAAACTTATAGTGCCGGCCAGGTTCAGTTCGTGTAACACAAAAATTTTGCGATTTATGCTAAATCACATGACTCTGTTCATAATTTTGGAAGATTCTGTAATGCTGGCCCGAATTACCAAAGACCGAAAAGACCCGTTCCTACACAAAGATAGAATTTTTACGGTGTAGGACTGGTAGGACCGCGGTCTTTCAAGACTGTTGACCATCTTTAATTATCGAAACGATCAATGATCGTTTGATTAAATTCCTTATGCATGCCTGTCAGTAATATTACGTAAAAATAAATTTATTAAATCCTTTTAACTTTTGCAACAATACATATGCATATAAATTTTAATTTTAATTTATTTATTGATACCTCCACTTTCATTCCCAGTAAATAGATTTTGTATAAATTTGTACCAAATGGGCTTATCCATATATAATTGGCTCTAGATTGGCTTAAATTTGGATTATTTTTTGCATAAATTTGAGCTAATGTTGAGCCAAATCAGCCAATGAGCCCGTTTGGTATAAAAACTATTTACTGGGATTTAACAGCATATTGCATAGCAACTAAACTGCATGACTAGTATAATTAAAACTCGGAAATTTATTTTTGATTTTTTTAAAAGTAATTAAATTGAATAAAAGAATAAAAAATTAAGAATAAAATTAAACCCATCCAAATTATTAAAACCCTCACGTTATACTTATTTTTGGATGAAAAGTCTTACTCCATGCTTGAAATGTATCTCCTGTTTTACCTTTTCACTTATAGAACCCAAATAATCTACTGAGTAGCTCTGCCCTTTCTACAGTAATACTAGGAACAACATTACTTGAATGAGGATCATTTCGTATTCTATTAAAACTTTCCCTAGCTTCATGATTTCCCTGTTCAGCAGATTTTCTATACCAATATGCTGCTTTAACTTTGTCGCGTAATTCATTTTCACATATAACTCCAAGATTGTATTGAACTACGTTAAGTCCGTCATCTCCACCAACTGCTCTCTCATAGAAATTATAAGCCATTTTCGTGTCAACCTCAGTTGCAATTCCTAAATAATGAAAATCTCCCAACACAAGAAGAGAATTGGTATAATTTTGATTATTTAATAACCAGTCAAAAATTTCTATTGAAGTCACATGATGATCTTCAAGGTAATCAAGAATTTTCTGTTTTTTACTTTTATCATATATTTTATAAGGAAGAGCAGCTATTCCATCGACTATATCTTTCTTAGATTTAGATCCTTTTTGCTTGAAAGTTTGTGATAAATTATTACGTGATGAAAGTGATGAATTATTACGTGATGAATGTGATGAATTATTATTGATTACTTCTACTAATCTATTAACTACCTCTCGGATATCTGGACGATCATCTGGTTCATATTTCCAACAATCTATAAATTAACATATAATCATTATTATTAATTATTTTTAAATCATAACCGAGCTTTAAATTATATTTACCAGTATAAATTCTTTTGTAGTCCTCAGGAGTATTTGGGATAGGTGTTTCTCTAAGACCTTGCAAAATCTGATTCACCAATCCATATTGGTTATACTGGCCTTCGAAAGGTGGCCGACAACTTGATATTTCCCATAGGAGCACACCAATACTGTAAATATCGCTCTTTTTATTTCGAGAGTATGAATCACTGGCGAATTTTTTTGGATCAATATAAGGAATTATACCATATAGTTTTGATATAACTGATTCATCAGTCTTTTTTGACAACCCAAAATCAGCCAATTTGACGTTATTTCCATGGACCAATACGTTGTTGGAGTGCTATTAATTATTTAATAGAAATAAAATAAATAAAATAATTACATCATAATTTCAAGGAAATATATATTATAAAAGAATTACCAAATCACGATGAATAATTCCCAAATTATGTAAACATGATACAGCGCTAGCTAATTGACATGCCATTTTGAATTTATTATTCCAAGTGAGATTTCTAGAATTTTTTCTTAAATACTCTCGAAAAGTACCACCATCGGCATATTCCATTACCAACATATAGTAATTTTGATCGACTTATTAAAAGAAAATAATTGGTTAAGTTAGATTTTCATAAAAAATAAATAATACTAAAATTTCTATACCTCTTGTAATGCCATAAAATCTTATAATATTGTCATGAACATTTACTTTACGCTGAATTTTAAGCTAAATAATAAAAAAAAAATATTTTTAATAATATGTATTTATTATAAAGACGTATATTGTAATCACCTCTTCAACAAATTTTTTTGCTTCGGAGTCTTTGAGAGATTTTAACGCATAAATATTATGAGAATCTTTCCAGTTTGCACGATAAACCTTTCCGAAGCCTCCGGAGCCAATTCCTTCAAAGTTATAAAAGTCTTTATATTNTTCCTCAATCCAATTGTTCCATTTAGTAGTATATCTATTATTATATGACATTTTTTTGTTCAGCAGACGAAAAAAAAATAATTAAAAAATAATTTCGTAGTATCGTTATTTATATATTTTTAATAAAAGAAGGAGAAATCATTATCCAATGTAACAGCGATCATCGGGAAACGAAAAAAATCAAGTATATACTGCAAGATCATGGATAAAATTACTTTCTTTTTCATAGCTGTTATTGAACATTTGATTATGTTGGTCTTGTACTCAATACTCATGCAAGTATCGCAGAACTTGAATCAGTTGAATGAAATAGGGGCGTTCAAATGAATTCTGAAAAAGCATGTTTTAGTTTACATTTTTTGATTATTTCGAACCATAAAGTTCAAATTAAGATGCCGATTTTAAGTTTACTTAATTTCATTTGTAAAATTTATTGTTATACATATTAAGTAATAATAAAAGAATTGTTCTATTTATTCCGGAGTTAAGATATCTTTCCTTTTTTTCCCTTTCAAGACACGATTTTGTAACTCCGAAAAGTATGTGCTGTCTTATTTGTGTTAATTAAGTTATATATATAGTTCTATTCATAAAGCAAAAAATTCAAATGTGAATCGTTTTTGTTGAATGACGTTTGTTTATTTGAGAGTGCCTAATTTTGATGATCGATCTAACCATAAAGTCCAAATTAGGTCGATAATTAGACTGATCTTTGAGACTTTGACAAAACAAAATGTGAATTTTTTCGTTACATTTGTTACACATGAAAAAGTGTTATGATGATCGTTTTCGTTTGAGTATTAAATTTTTCAACAAGATGAAATAGGTCTTAAGGGATAAAATTTATGATACAAGGATGTAAACCGCACCGCAGTTTAATCAATCATTGAAATCAAAAAATTTCTTTAACAAAATCATAAAAATCATAAATATAATGGAGCAACTATACTAAAAAATGATAATTTACGATGATTATCCCAAAATTCTCCATGTTCTTTGTATGTATTCGTCCGAAGAACTCCTAATCCAATCAATATCATGATCTGCAAATGTATCAATAGTTGAGGTAGAGGTAGATGTACTAGTTCACTCTCTATCATCATCTTTCTCATCATAATTTGTATCTAAATTAATACATAAAAATGTGTGTTCTTTGTTATTTAAATAATAATAATAATTTTTTAAATTATTAAAATTATTAATAAATTCAAAGAAGGAGAATATAATATTCGAGCGTAAGATCCGGTGATTTTGGATGATATCTCTTTAGATAATTGAACACGAACCAATCTAACAAATTCAAATTTTGATAATTTAGCATATCGATTTTTTTGAGTTTTATTTCTAGTTAAATCGTTATTATGATATATTTAAGGAATGTAAAGATGGTTACAGCCAATTTGTTTATAATTAGGAATTTAATTAGGTCTTTCGGTTCTTACATGTAATTTTCGTTCCTTACTAACTTTATTTCTTCTTTTGATTTTATGGGTTTGGTTTTTACTTGGTCCCCTTGTTTATCTCATTTTCGTCCCTTCTTCATTTTTTTTGTTTTCTTCATTTCTTTTTGCTCTTATTATTCTTCCCTTCCTTCATTTTTCCATTGTTTTTTATTTCCTCTTCGTTCCTTTCGTCTTTTTCATTCCTTTACACTACCCTTCGTTCCTTTCATTTCCATTCCCACTTCATCTTTTTCGTTCTTTTACACTATCTTTTGTTCTTTACATTTTTTTCCCATTCCCACTTCTCTTTACACTACCCTTTGTTCCTTTCATTTTTTTATTCCCCTTTGCTCTATTTCGTCCCCCTCCATTCTTTTCATTTTTTTTATTAGTTCCCACTTGATCTTTTTCGTTACTTTTGTTTCTTTTACTCCCCTTTCCCTTTAATACTCTCCCTATTTTTCATTCACCCTCATTTTTTGACAAAAAAATTTTAATATTATGAAAATACTACAAATATTTTTATTAATTAATTATAAATTTTACAATTATTTCTTATTTTATATTACGTCAATCTTAAACTTATAACTAATTAGGAAAAATATTTGAATAATTAAATGTATTAGGATCTATTCATTTCATTTATTATTATTCATTTTACTCGATAAATTATTAATTTAACTAAACCATTTGAATTAAAATCTTTTATTCAAAAATCTGGTGGTTATTTAGAGAATTTCGGAATTCGGATATGGATTTGGTTATAATAATCTATTATTAAATCAAACAATTTCTTCAAAAAGAATTGATATTTTTACATATTTTATGATTAATTAATTGATTTTTATGAATTTGAAAAATCAAACCATTTTATCCAGTGTTCAATTTAATTTAAAAAATCTTACTTCATCTTTCTATCAATTTTTCTTTATCTGATATGTTATATTGATTTTTTTTTAAAAAAAATAATAATTTTGTAAATATATTTAATATAATATTTTATTTTTTATTTTAATAATTTTTTTATTTAATAATAATAAAAAATTTAAAAAAAAATTTGGAGGGAAGAAAAAGGATAAAGAAAGAAATCAGTTAAAAAAAAAGGGAATCCGGAAAAAAAAAAAAAATAAGTACGAAAAAAATCTGAAAAAAAGGAGTGTTGTTCGGAGGTAAATTCACGATTGATGACGACAATAATTCAATCCAAAAAGAGTGAAAAAAAAATTTTTTTTAACAATACGGTCTAAAAAAAAAGATCGAAAAAAAATAATATAAAAAAATTGGTCTTAAAAGACTGAAACAATGGGGATTATTTAATAAAAAAAAATTTTTCAGTTTGGGAAAAAAAAAATTAAACCTAAACGGGAAAAGAATGTGAAAAAAACAAATTTTTCGGCTTGAAAAAGAAAAACTATACTGAGAAAAAATTTTTTTTCGGTTTGAAAATTTTTTTTAAAAAAAAGGAACCAAAAAAAGATCGGACAAAAAATTAATAAGCAAAAAAAAAAATTCCGATTACAGTCATTACACACGGATCGAACCATAAATAGATCAGGCGGAGGCATGTCACGGGTTTTAATTATATGGCATGGGATTTCAAGTCACACAATTCAAATTATTTATACGGAGACTAATCCAAACGTCAGACAAATTGTTAAACTTTTGCAACATTCTTGACAATTGCTCGTGCATTCTATTTATGGAATTTCTAAATAAAGTTGTTTTATATAGAAATAATAATAATAGACTTCACGGAACTTAAAATAACCTTTAATATATAAATAAATAAAAGAATGACAATATTGATGTGGTCCTCTTATAAAGTAAGCGTTGAAATAATTTTTATGCGCCACAAATTAATTTTTTATTGTAACAATAAATTATTTAAATTATTTAAATTATTTATTATGTATGTATATTATTATTAATTCATCAAATCTACCATTACTACAAAGGTACTTTGTGATGCACAACATGATATTTAACTAATTTGGGGGAATTGAGGATAAATCAGTTGAATCATGTATTGATCCAAATTTAGATATTGTATTTCCTAATGGAGCTATTAAACCATTAAATGTTTCTTCTCATTTATAATTATTGTATGTTGGATATGTATTTATGAATTCTATTTTAAATGAAGGTACAATTTTAATAACTTATTTTAATGAATAAGATGCTACGACAACAATACGTATGAGAATGATCATTGATTGGGACGAAAATTAGTTGCAGTAAGTATTTAACTTAATTTGGTGAGTTTTTTTATAATTCTTATATACTGTATACACACACTACATAAATATATTTTAGGAACATTGAGTTGGGAATTGGAATTGTAAAGATTAACATTAACATAAATTAAGATTCATATGGACTCGACAGGTTAATGATACTACTATTGCATGATCCCTTGTAACCAAAATTCAAAAAACAACAGACTATCATCACATCACGGACCCAATTTGGGAAGTTTACGCGATTTTTTTAGACAAAGGCGCAGATACAATTAGTCCACCTTATCAAACTTCAGTAGATTGGAACTATTACAACACGATATTGTCATTTTTATTATAAGAATACGTAATATTTCAGATTAATGTTTAATTATTTTATTATTACTAAACATTATGTCAAAATTTCTAACTATGTTTAGATGATGCTTTAACGTTTTAAATATACAGTATAATGATTTTATGATCAAGCTTTATGATGATAAACGCGAATTTTTTGAATTTAACGTGGGTATAAAAGAACATAATTTGCTTTCAAAAAATATAGTGCTTGGTTTGGTTTAATTTTCCTGAGATTAATCTGTTTTCCTTGAATCTTTAAATTATTGTTAACGAATTTTAGAAAATTTGGAAAAAAAAATATTAACCCGGCCTTTAATTAGTAATTCGTATAAGAATCGTAATAGTTTTATTAATATAAAAATAAGGGATATCAGATATCGATATGTATAATATTTTATAATTTCGGAATCCAACATTCCTTCTAATTAAGATATCATTTATAAATGTAATCTATTAGAATTAGCAATTATAATTGATAAATATAATGTTTATATTCCTTTTTGAATAAAGTTTAACTTTAAATTGAAGATAGTTTAGTTAAAAATTTCATTCCGTGAATTTATTGAAATTTATTTTAATAATTAAATTTATTAATTCTTATATGGATTGCGAATTAATCATTTTTCTTTTTTGAATTATTGAAAATAAAAAAAAAAAATTCAAAAAAAAAAATGTTATTTTTTAAATCTTCAAATATAAAGATTTTTATGTGGCCTTTTAACTTTATCGTAATAAACTTTGTATTTCCTTAAATTTATAATCAACAAAACTGCATCTGCGGCAACGAATCGGAATAATTCGTAAGCAATAGGGGTAACACATATTTAGTATGAGAAAGGCTTATATTAGTTTTGACCAAATTTATAAAAGATCTACAAGAATCAATTTTTAATTCGGGAAATTGATTACCATATAAAGTATAAAAGGAAAAATGGATTTCACACGAAAAATTTTTTTTTATTTTCTGTTCTTGAAATCTTTGACAATTAAAAATGGATTGTGATAAATTTTTACCAAAATTATCCCAAAATTTTCTCGAAATCTTGAATGATAACGAATATTTTGATATTACAATAGAAGTTGGTAATGATCCTCACGTAAAAATATTTCGTGCTCATATAGTTATCTTAAATTATCGTTCTCCTTATTTGAGAAGAATTTTATCAACTAATAAAAAGAAAAATGATGGAACTTTAACACATATTAAATTACCAAACATTTTACCTGAAATTTTTCAAGCAATTTTAACGTAAGAAATATATTAAGATGATTTATTATTTTAAATAAATTTTTATTAAATTTTTTT